CGCTCATAAACCATACTATGAACCCTTTAAGACCCTTTGAACCCTGAGCCCGACAAACCCTGAAGACCCTGTAAGCACTAAAAACCGTGGAAACCAGACCCTATAAAACCCTAAACCCTAAACCCCAAACCCTAAACCCTAAACCCTAAACTTACCCTAAACCCTAAACGTCTAATTCCAAGACGAAGAAACCCAAAGATTCTAGGGAGTTCGGGATTTGAGAACCTAAGGTTTAGAGTTTAAGGCTCGGGCTTGCTCCTACTGCTGAAAGCTCAGTCACATCTTAAGGTCTAAGTTTAAGGGTTTAGGATTTACAGTTTCCCTAAACCCTAAACCCTAAACCCTAAACCCTAAACCCTAAACCTAAACCCTAAACCCTAAACCCTAAACCTTCTTCTTTTGGCTCTCCGGTAACCGGGACCTTGGTCGTCTCAGGTCTCTGACAAACCGCGTTGTTGCACGGCGAGGGGGCCTAGATGTGTAGCTTGGGGGTGGAATGCTTAGGGATTCGGGCTTACCCTAAACCCTACACCCTAAACCCTAAACCCTAAACCCTAAACCCTTCTTGGGATTCTGGGTTCTAGGCTATCGGTGACTCGACTTGGGCTCAATGATGCGAGAGTTGCTTTGCGGGTTTGGTACACACATCTTTCAAGCAGCGTTTACACCCAAAACCCTAAACCCTAAATCCTACACCCTAAGCCCTAAGCCCTAAACCCTAAATCCAACAACAACACCCAACCCCCCCCCCCCCCACAAAAAGAAAAAGACAACTAAACCCTAAGCCCTAAACCTCAGCCCCGAAGAAATCTCCTCGACCTAGACACCACTCAGCAACTAATCGGATCTGCATGAAGGATCCCTTTTGGGAGGTGAGGGGGTTTAGGGTTTAGGGAAGATGGAGGCCTGAGAACTTCAGACCAGACCCACTAGGATGCAAGGTGTCTGATGGGGCTCGGGGTTTAGGGTTTAGGGTCTGGAAACTTGAGGTAACATTTTTGATGCAAAACCCTGAACCCTAACCTTCAAAACGCCTGCTTATCAAGGGTTTAGGGCTGTGAGGCTGCAGAACGCCCCCCAAGGTTTAGGGTTCAGGGCGGAGGGCTTAGCAAGGGCTTACCAGCTTATTTGCTTGCCGATGAGCCTGCAAATGTTCACCCTATACCCTAAACGCCCTAAACTCTATTGCTGGACCCCAAACGGAGCCGAGACAGGCGCGTGAGACAGAATCTATTGCAGCCAGCATGCCCCCCCCACCCCCCGGGGTCTGGGGTTTAGGGCTTAGGGTTTAGGGTTTAGGGGGGTTAGGGTTCAGGGTTTGCGTGGTGTAGGAGGTCGCTAAACCCTCAAAAACAAGCTCTGATTTAAGGCCAAGCCTCTAGATCTGAATTTCTGAGAAACCTGCACCCCAACACCAGCCAACTGTCCGCTCTGGGACCCTTAACATCTCTTAACCTCAACCCCTAAACCCGAACCCTAAACCCTAAACCCGAATCAGCTGGCCTTTTCCAGACCCGAACCCCAAACTTTTCTTTGGTTCTCTTCAGGATCTCGTGGCAGTTTGGGGGGTTTAGGGTTTAGGTTTAGGGTTTAGGGTTTGGGGTTAGGGTTTAGGGTTTAGGGTTTAGGGTTTAGGGTTTAGGGTTTAGGGGGGTTTAGGGGTTTAGGGTTTAGGGTTTGGGGTTTAGGGTTTGGGGTTTAGGGTTTCTTTGGTCCAGGGCTTGGAGGATCTGGGGTAGGAGGGGCGTGCTGGGAGGTTCAAGGCGACGCCTCAGCCGCGGACTTTAGGGTTTAGGGTTTAGGGGTTGAGGGTTTAGGGTTTAGGGTTTAGGGTTTAGGGTTTAGGGTTAGGGTTTAGGGTTTTTAGGGTTTAGGTTTAGGTTTAGGGTTTAGGGTTAGGGTTAGGGTTCAGGGTTAGGGTTTAGGGTTTAGGGGGCTGCTACTTGCCAGCAGCCGACATCAGGACGACGCCCACTAGCTGAAGGGCGAAAGCCACACCTCGCGGCGCGCAGCCCGGCTTTAGAGAGTCGCTAGCAGGGTTCTCAAGGTTTGGGGACCCTAAACCCTAAGCCCGAAGTCCTAAACCCAAAAACTTTTGGGACTGCACAGGTGCAGACTCCCTGAATCATGGTGGCTTCAAGAGATACTTTCCCTGAGTCTGAGGGTGTTGGGGTATCAGGGCTTGGGGTTGCCCTCTGCCCCCCTGGGCTTAATGTTGGGTTTGGGTTCTAGGAGGCTTTTGGGTTTAGGAATTGGGTGCTACCCCGACAAGCCCTCAACTCTGAACCCGATAACGACCTAAAGCCCAAAGATAGTTTGGTTTCGTCATATACACAGAAATAGAGCACACAAGATACGCCCCTACGACGCTACGCCCCTACGGTCCTACACCCCTGAACCCTAAACCCTAAACCCTAAACCCCCTAAACCCTAAACCCTAAACCCTAAACCCTAACCCTAAACCCTCCCTAAACCCTAAACCCTAAGGCTGGCGCTATACAGGACCAGCTGCCCACCGGTCCGTGATCTCCTTTGCAGGGGGTCTCGGAGCAAGGAGGGCTTGTGGGGTTTAGGGTTTAGGGTTTAGTGTTTAGGGTTAGGGTTGAGGGTTTAGGGTTTAGGGTTTAGGGTATAGGGTTTGGGGTGGTTTAAGGTTTAGGGTTTAAGGTTTGGGGTTTGGAGTTTGGAGTTTGGGTTCAGGGTTGGGGGGCCATGCAGCCTTGAAGCCTCGAACCGTAAGCCTAAGCCCCTCAACCCTCACCCACGAGGACAGGCACCTCCTGCCCAGTCCTTAGAATCCAGGGTTTAGGGTTTAGGGTTTAGGGTTTAGGGTTCCGGGTTTAGGGCCCTACAGAAGCCATGAGCCCGAAACCTTGGGGCGGAGATGGTCGGGGGGCCTGGAAAACGAAAATGGACAGCAAGCTGGCGATCGCGATGGGCCTTAGGGTTGATGGAAGGACTTCCTGCACCCTAATCCCTAAACCCTAAACCCTAAACCCTAAACACAAAACCCTAAACCCTGAACCCTCAACCTGAATGGGAGCGGGAGTGATGCTTTTGTTTCGGTGCTTAAGGGGAGCTTCTGGGGCGGAATGCGTCGAGCGTGTAGGCTCAAAGCTCTCGGGGTTGTCGGTTTAGGCAAGGGGGCAAGGTTTTTGGGGTTGAGGTTCAGTTCTCTGCGCCAAAACCCAAAACGCAAAACCCTAAACCCCAAACCCTAAACCCTAAACCCTAAACCCTAGACCCTGAACCCTAAACCCTATCGTTTTCGGGCTTTTGAGGGGTCAGGGTTGAGGGTCGGGGTCGGCTGTTGGTGTTTTTTGAAAATGTGTGTCTCTTGTTCTCTGGCCACCTGAAACCCTGCAGCCACAGGCACACTGGCTGTTGGTTTAGGGTTTAGGGTTGAGAGTCTAGGGTTTGGGGGTTCGGGTTTCGGGTTTAGGGTTTATGGTTCAGGGTTTAGGGTTTAGGGTTTAGGGTTTAGGGTTTAGGGTTTAGGGTTTAGGGTTTAGGGTTGTGGGTTTAGGGTTCAGGGTTCAGGGTTTAGGGTTTAGGGTTCAGGGTTTAGGGTTTAGGGTTTAGGGTTTAGGGTTTAGGGTTTACGGTCTACTACGGTCTGGGCCACTGAGGCCGCGAGTTTAGGGCACCCTCGCCTCAACGAAGTGGGCCCAATTCCTTGGGCCCCGGCCCGACGGCATCTAGCCTGCGCTGTCTGTGTCATGGCTTCCCCTACTACTACCCCCGCCTTTAAACTACTTAGGGCTGATTAAGCTTAAGGGCGGAACCTAAGGGGTGGCAGGAAAGAGGGGCTATTATCGTGGGCTAATAAAATGTACTGTTCGCCCGCGTCTAAAAAATATTATATAAAGTGCGCCGAAGTACTAATAAGGGCGCACAAAGGGCCCCACAAAGAGAATTATAAATTGGGAGCCGCAAGAATAATAATGATGAGAATAATAATGATAATAGTAATACTAATCATGATAACAATAACTTTGATATAATAAACATAATAAGAATACAAATAATTACTATTGTTAATATTTGCATTATTATCATAATCACAATCATAATCATAATCACAATAAGAAGAAGAACAAGAAGAAGTGAATATGGCCCTTATAAGCCCCTATATAATACTGTAATACGGGCGCATAGAAGAAGAACTGCTTCAGCAAGCAGGACGTTTCAGAAAGCACTAAACCCTAAACCCTAAACCCCAGAACCAAGAGCACCTGATGATGTGTCCATAGTTTCAGAGGTTGGGGAATGTAGGGGCCCAAACCATTTGAACAGGATTTTGGGGAGTTGTTGTGGAATACTATGAGTAATTTTCCGACCCCTAGAGTACTCCGCACCGGTTTAAAGCAGGCCACGCGGTTGCCGGATGGAATGACAGGACATCGCGGCGGTGTTCACAACTACCTTTAGCCCCTAAACGCTGAGCCCTCCACTTCCCGGCCCTTTCAACCCCGAAACCCGAAACCCTAAACCCTAAACCCGAAACCCTAAACCCTAAACCCTAGCCCTAAACCCTAAACCCTATAACCTCAAGAGGCAAGGGGCGTATAGCCGACGGAGAAGCCCAGCTCAGCAATGCCAGTGATCATGAAGCCGAACCCTGGACGATGTTGGGCAATGCACGGAGGGTTGTGAGGGCTCCTTCGGATTTAGGGTTTAGGGTTTAGGGTTTAGGGTTTAGGGTTTAGGGTTTGGGGTTTGGGGTTTAGGGTTTAGGGTTTAGGGTTTAGGGTTTAGGGTTCAGGGTTGTGGGTTGAGGGGAATTTAGGGTTCAGGGTTCAGGGTTTAAAGCTTAGGGTTGAGGGTTCAGGGGTTGGGGGGTTCAGGGGCTCGGAGGCTTAGGGTTTAGGTTTAGGGTTCAGGGTCCAGCACGCAAGGGGAACAGCTGACATGGACCCTAAAGCCTAAACCCTACGTAAACCCTAAACCCTAAACCCTAAACCCTAAACCCTAAACCCTCAACCCTCCGAGCCCCACACCTACGGCCCAGATGCAGCCGCTGGCGTAGGCGGGCCGAATGGCCGAGTGCGGAACCCGCCAACCTCGAGGCTGGGTTGATGGTTAAGGGTTTAGGGTTTCAGGGTTTAGGATTTAGGGTTTAGGGTTTAGGGTTGAGGGTTTAGGGTTGAGGGTCTAGGGTTGAGGGTTGAGGGTTGAGGGTTGAGGGTTTAGGGTCTAGGGTCTAGGGTTTAGGGTTGAGGAGTCTCTCCGGGAGAACAGAATAGAATGGAATGGAGTAAAAAATAGAACAGAATAGACTAGAATAAAATGGAACAGAATGTGTGCACTACATATGTGGGTTCTCGCAATTTAGAAGGACTTGTCAGTTTTAGGGCTGTCGCCTTCAGGGTTTACGTGTGCGAGTCTTTGCTGATACTTACTGTAGCTGCACCCACATTCATCTCCAAATCTAAACACCCAGCAGCCACAAAAGCCTAAGCCCGCCTAAGACGTAACCCTAAACCCGAAACCAAGCCTGAACACTCTACGCCTGAAACCCTGCACTCTAAACCCTAAAGACCGGAGCCTGAAGTAGGAGCAGTAGCAGCACCAGTAGCAGTAGTAGTAGCAGCAGCTGTTGTTGTTGGTTAGTGATTGACCGCCAAACAACAAACTTAATCCTTCAGGAATCAGCCCTAGAACCTGCAGTCAGGGGCCAAGGCCTGCAAGCTTGGCCACCGCGGCGTACCTTGAGGGGGCAAGGGCCCTGACTTCCCCCAAAAGCCCTGCAAATCCCGAAGCTCTAACCCCTAAACCCCTTAAGAATCTAGAAGCTCTAACCCCCCCCCCACCCCCCACAAAATCGCTACACCCGAAACCCCCCCACGAAGTCCCTACACTCTAAAGTTTGGGGTCGTTGTGGGGCTTTTGGGGTTCAGTGCGGAGGCTTCTGAGGTTGATAAGTTTGCCAGCGCTCCTAACAAAGGAAACAGGAGGTTACGTTTAAACCCTAAACCTAAACCCTAAACCCCAAACCCTAAACCCCAAACCCCAAGCCCTAAACCATAACCCCTAAACCCTAAACCCTCTACCACATTACCATCCAAAGCACAAGAAAACCCACCAAACCGTCAACCCTCCCGCCCAGGGAGATGCGAGAACAGCGTCCTAAACCCAAAACCCCAAGCCCTAAACCCCAAACCCTAAACCCCAAACCCCAACCCTAAAGCCCTAAACCCCAACCCCGAGGCTCCGGCAGCAGGTAGATAAAACCTTGGGTGGGTTTAGGATTTACGGTTTAGGGCTTAGGGTTTAGGGTTTAGGGTTTGGGGTTTGGGGTTTAGGGTTTAGGGTTTAGGGTTTAGGGTTTGGGATTTAGGGTTTAAGGTTTAGGGTTTAGGGTTTAGGGTTTAGGGTTTCAAGTGCGACGCGGACCTACTTGTCCACATGATTCGGTTGTGGAGATCTCTTGGACATTCTCTTGGGCTACTTGTGGATTGCATAGGCAAAACCCTAGACCCTAGACCCTAAACTCTAAACCCTAAACCCCTGAACCCTAAACCCTAAACCCTAAACCCTAAACCTCTCAAGCCTAAACCCTCAACCAACCAAGTTGGTTCCTGTCAATCATAGGATCCTTTGCTGTCCTCCCCCCCCCCGCCTGCTCCGGCCCCACCCCCCCACGCCTGTAGGCTGGTTAAAGGACATTCTGCTTCATCAAGAGGGAACCTTTTGGGGGTAGGGCCGGAAATATGTAAACCCTGAACCCTAACCCCAAACCCTCAACGACTCGATTTGGGGACTTTGTGGTTTAGGGCTTAGGAGAGCCAACATGTTTCGCACAAAAACCTAGAGGTTCAAGGTTTCGGGTTTAAGGTTTTGGTATCCAAACCTAAACCCTAGATTTTGGTATCCAAACCTAAACCCTAAACCCCAAACCCCAAACCCTAAACCCTCAACCCCCAAGGACCCGTTCGTAGTTGGGAAAATTTAGGAAGATCCGGCTGGGGGAGGACGTCTTTCGGACCCCTTTGGAGGAGTTCTGTGTTCACAAGCGCCTCTTGAGGGTGAGGAGGGTTTAGGGTTCCGGGTTCACGGTGTGCAGGCCCCAGTTGCTCAGCACCCCTACCGGAAACCCTTCGGAAAATGGACCTTGGAACCCCCCCCAATCCCCCAAGAAAAACCTCCAAAGAGCCGAAAATCAAGTCCTGAACCCCGGAACAACCCGAAACCCTAAGCCCTAAACCCTGAACCCTAAACCCTAAACCCTGAGCCCTAAACCCTAAACCCGAAACCCTAAACCCCCTGAACCCTTACAGGTTCAGGGCTTGACCATGGTCCTGCTTGCGGCAGAAGCGTCTGCTACAGACGTATATGCCCAGGCATTGCGGGAAGACGACGTCCGTCGCGGGCGCGCTCGAGTACCTCAGAAGCTACGTGGCTCTAGAGTTTTGGGTTTAGGGTTTAGGGTTTAGGGTTTAGGTTTTAGGGTTTAGGGTTTAGGGTTTATGGTTCAGAGCACCAACCCTAAACCCTAAACTGCCCTGAACCCTGAACCCTAAACCCTCCCTCAAACCTCCCAAGCCCTACGCGCCTGGAGCAACATTGAAGCCTGTCCTACTCAATCCCTAAACCCTAAACCCTAAACCCAAAAATTCTGAAATCCCCGAAGTGTTAGGATGCCCTGAGGCCCCTTGAACCTTATCCCCTCAAGCTGGGATGTTCCCCCTTATACTAACAGTCCTTAATCGGGATTATAAATGGTGGGACTAGAAATCCCATTGAGGACCGCTAGTAGAAGGGGAAACATCCCAACCTTAAGCCCGTAAACCAGCAAACCCCACCAGAAAAATGGTCAGCCGCGGATTCGGAAACTGGACTGGGAACGCGTCGGAAACTGGAAAAAGCCCAATTCGCGGATTTCGGAATGTGAAAGCGCGGATTCCGGAAACCACGATTCGGGAAACCCGGCTGATTCAGGAAACTGGAAAACGCGGATTTGGGAAAGTGGAACACGCTGATTCGAAAAAAACTGGAAAACGCGGATTTGAAAACCGCTGATTCGAGAAACTGGAAAACGCGGATTCGGAAACCGGTGATTTTGGAAACTGGAGCGCGCGGATTCGGAAATTGACTGAATCGCGTGCTTCTAGTTTTTCTTGAATCGCGTGGTTTCCTGAATCGCGGTGTTTTCAAATTCCTCATCACGTGGTTTCCTGAACTGTGCAGTTTCCTGAATCGCGTCCAGTTTCTGAATCGCGCAGGGTTGCCAGCAAAGCACTTGCCGAGCTGACCTCCAGGGGCAACCCTAAACCCTAAACCCTAAATCCTAAACCCCTAAGCCCCCTAAGCCCCTAAACCCCAAAACCCCTAAACCCTAAACCGATCAGTTGGGGTTGTCTCGGGCCACTTCTGGTTGTACAGCGCCGCCGGCACGCCTTGGCTGGAGAGAGTCTAAGATCTAAGGCTTCTAATCTTGGGGGGTTTAGGGTTTAGGGTTTAGGGTTTAGGGTTTAGGGTGTAGGGTCTAGGGTCTAGGGTCTAGGGTTTAGGGTTTAGGGTTTAGGGTTTAGGGTTTAGGGTTTAGGGTTTATGGGGTAGTTTCATGGGCTCTGAATGTGGTCCCTTACCTCAAAGCGTTCTGATGTAGGGGCCCTTGTTTTGTATAGGGTATATAAGGGGTCTTGAAGGGGGACCCTTCTAAGGGCCCATACTAAGGGACTATGTGAATACCCCTAAACCCTAAACCCTAAACCCTAAACCCTAAACCCTAAACCCTAAACCCTAAACCCTAAACCCTAAACCACCCTTGGATACGAGGGGTCGAAGCTCTCAGCTTTTCGCTCCGTAGCTAAAACTTCAGGTTGAAGTTTGCAAGGCCTTAGGGGGTTTAGGGCATAAGGGTTAGGGTTGGGACCCCTCAACCCTAAACCCTGAACCCTAGACCGTTAACCCTTAACCCTAAGCCCTGTACCCCCTAAACCCTCAACCCTAAACCCTAAACCCTAACCTGAACCTTAAAGCTTCCGTAAAAAGAGTCCTAAGAACGGTTGAGGGTTTCCGGGTTTAGGGGTTTAAGGGTTTGTCAGGGTTTAGGGTTGGGGGTTTAGGGCTGTGGGTGAGGGTTTCAGGGTTTCAGGGCTTCTCAGGGTTAGGGTTGGGGGTTTAGGGTGTAGGGTACAGGGCTTCAGGGTATCAGGGCTTCAGGGGGTTTCTCAAAGTTTCAGGGTTGAGCTAACCCCAACGTTCAACTCCAAGACCCGAAGGCTGCTCCCAAACCCCACGCCCGAAAACCCTATGCCGACACCCTAAACGCCCAAAACCCCCAAACCCTAAACCCCATAACACCAAACCCTCCGAAACCCAAACCCCAAAAACCCAAACCCCCCAAACACCAAACCCCGAAACAAACCCTGGCTGAGCGCGCGGACTCTGCACACCCGTGAGGCCGCCCGCGAGCAGCGCCAAAGCGACGCCGACGCACTGGGCCGGATGCATGATGGGCCCGGAAGGGCTTCGGGGGTTTGAGAATTTAGGGGCTTAGGTTGCCGGGCTTAAGGGTTTCGCATTTCCGGGGTCTAGGGTTAAGGGTTTGGAGGGGTTGAGGAGGTTTAAAGAACCAAGGGTTTTGGGGTTTTGGGGTTTAAGGTACATGGCCCCTTCAAGGGTTGTATGGCGAGCTGAAGCGTACCTCATTCCCCAATTCCTAAGTAAGAGAATCCCGCCCAAACCCTAGAGTCAACCCTGATCCCAACTAACCCCTAAACCCTAAACCCTAAACCTTAAACCCTAAACCCTAAACCCTAAACCCCAAACTCTCTCCCCATCCCAAGCACTGCAAGGGCTGCGCCTTCTTGCCGGCTCGGCCTCAGGCGTTAGGGTTTAGGGGTTGAGGGGTTTAGGGGTTTAGGGGTTTAGGGGTTGAGGGGTTTAGGGGTTTAGGGGTTTAGGGGTTTAGGGGTTTAGGGTTTAGGGCTTAGGGTTTAGGGTTTAGGGCTTTAGGGTTTCGGGTTTAGGGTTTAGGGTTTAGGGTTTAGGGTTTTGGGTTCTTGGGGGGTAGGTACCTAGGGAACCTTGGGTTTCATACCCCCCTTAAGAACCCTATAGGGACACACGGAAACAAACGAATCTGGGATTGGGCTTCAGGGCTTTGGGGTTCAAAGGTGTCGTGCAGTTGTGCGAACCTCGTAAACCCTAACCCCTGAACCGTAAACCTCTAAATCGTCAGGGGGTAGAGGGCTTCTTGGCCTTCTCGCATTGAGGGCTTGGGTTTTCTTGTCATCCAGACAGAGGGCCAACCCAGTTCCACGGGCCCATGGACCCACGGGCTCTCGGGCCCATGGACCCACGGGCTCACGGGCCTACACGAAGACCACGAATCAGATGAAGAAAAATGCTTCAGTATAAGATATGTCTGCGAATTTAATACGCATGACCCCCCTAAACATGTTTCACTTGTCTCGTAGCTCGAGGGGACACACAGCTTAAGACAAGACACTTAAACTAAAGCAACGATGCTCTTCAGAATAAGATACGTCTGCGGATGTAATTCTCCTGCCCCCCCCCCTCCCCCCCGACAAAAAGGTACTTTTGTCTTGTCGTCGGAAAAGGCGCATTGTTTAAGATGAGACACCTAAACTATACATTAAAACTTGCAATGAAACATTTACTTCTTCACGATGTGGACAAAGTTTTCCGTTGCCTATGGGACGCACAACCAGATTCAGAAAAGATGCTCTTCAGAATAAGATACATCTGCAGATGTGATACTCATGCCCTCCCTCAAGATGTTACATTTGTTAGTCAGTCTTGTCCTTGGAGGGGACACAGAGCTTATGACAAGACACTCCAACTAAGAAACGATGCGCTTCAGAATAAGATACGTTTGCAGATGGAATACTCATGCCCCCTCGCGAGAGAATAAAGGCTGCTGTTGTCTTCTCGCTGGAGGGGGCCCACGGTTTAAGACGAGGCGCATAAACTAAGTAATTAAGCTTGCGATATGACACGATTTACGGTTTCAATGTCACTTATTAACGACAGGGGAAGAATGCTACCACCGATGAGGGCAAAGGGACTAAGAACATACTGCACGTAAATCTACGGTTGCGTTGAAAAATCCTTGGGAAGGCCCGAACAAATCAAAATGGCACACTCTGCGTATTAAACTAAAACCTGCGGATGCAATACGAGTGCCCAGGAAAATTGAACCTCGTGTTAAAACTGATCAAAGTCGAGAAATACGCTGATTCCCTTGCCCGACCCCAAACTTTGCTGTCACAAAATACTCCTTCTCTGACACATTCACGGCTCGTTTTCTATCGAGGAATTGAGTTTTTCAGTATATATATAATATATATTATATATATATTATATATATATATATTATATATATTATATATATATATTATATATATATATTATATATATTATATATATATAGGGAGACAGGCCTCCAAGCCCAAAAACTCGCAGCTCGGAAGCTCTGGTCCCACGGGGCAATCTGCTGGACGCATTAAAGCCAGGGAGGTTCATGGGTAGTGATTAGTAGGGTAATATATAGGGTAATATATAGGGTAATATATAGGGTAATATATAGGGTAATATATAGGGTAATTAACTCCAATTATGAAAGAAGTAGGGGTATGATATGGTATGAATGTCTAAGGTTTCCAGATGTCGCCCTGGAAGGTTTTGGCTTGAACAACCTGCTTTGCAGAACCCGGTAAAGGACTCAAAGCCAAGAAACTTCTGATGTGCAAGCGCCAATTTCCATTGCATCCCCATCTTTAGCCCTGCATCGCATAAAGCTTTCATCCAACGCATACCCTACACACAAACAAACCCCCACCGAGATATGCAAGCACTTCCGGTCTACTTATCTCTACCGACACCTGACAACCGGAGAGTGTGGAAATTTCAAGTTCGCCGGGTACCACAGATTGGAACGGCTCGATCAAACCTGTTTGTTGCAAGTAAACGAATTCCCTACAAAATCTCCTATGAATAGATCACTCGGGCCATCGTATAGAACCTCCTACGCCTGATCAGCTTTCTTGTCTTCTGACTTATTGCGAAAAACATCTCGATGAATCACAATCAGTCTGTCTGGAGGTTCACGGGCCCTCCACGGGCCCACGGGCCCACGGGCCCGCCACGGGCGCAAGGGCTCACGGGCTCACGGGCCCACGGGCTCAAGGGCTCAAGGGCCCACGGGCTCACGGGCTCACGAGCCCGTAACCCAAATGGACCTAGGCCGACATCCAAGACCTTGGGTCTTGAACCCTAATCCCAGCCTGGTGATTGGGTTTGAAGACGCTCATGGCTTAGGGATTCACCCTCCCAAACCCTAAATTGAAAACACCTGCCCCACGCCTTAACCCCTAAACCCTAAACCCTAAAACCCTAAAGCCCTAAAATCCCTAAAACTCCAAGACCCTAAGACCCTAACACCCTAAAACCCTAAACCTCTAAAACCCTAAAACCCTGAAACCCTAAAACCCTAAACCCCCTAAACCCCAAAGACCCTAAGACCCTAAACCCCTAAACCCCTAAAACCCTAAAACCCTAAGACCCTAAAACCCTAAAACCCGACACCCTAAGCCCAAAACAGCACCTAAACCCTGAAACCCTAAACCTCTAAAACTCTAAAACCCTAAAGCCCTAAACCCCTAAACCCTAAGACCCTAAACCCTAAAACCCTAAAACCCTAAGACCCTAAAACTCTGAAACCCTAAAACCCTAAGACCCTAAAACCCCTAAACCCTAAGACCCTAAACCCTAAAACCCTAAGACCCTAAAACCCTAAAACCCTAAACCCTAAGCCCAAAACAGCACCGAAACCCTGAAGCCCCAAACCCTAAACCCTAAACCCTAAATCCTAAACCCTAAACCCTGAAGCACACCTGCGACAGTGGTCGGCTCCGCGTCGCCCTCCGCAGCTTGCACGAAGGAGCTGAGGGCCTGGATCTCAAGGCATCGGGGGCGACAAAGGCGTAGAGTAGGGTTTAGGGTTTAGGGTTTAGGGTTTAGGGTTTAGGGTTCAGGGTTCAGGGTTCAGGGTTCAGGGTTGAGGGTTGAGGGTTGAGGGTTGAGGGTTGAGGGTTGAGGGTTGAGGGTTGAGGGTTGAGGGTTGAGGGTTGAGGGTTGAGGGTTGAGGGTTGAGGAGGGTTGAGGGTTGAGGGTTCGGGGTGGTTGGGCTCACTCGTCAAGCTGTTGTCGGACGCCAGATACGTATTCACCCGCCCACAGACCCCACAAACCAACAACTCAAGGCCAAATAAACAGATAAACCCTAAAGCCCAAGGCCCTGTAAGCATAACCCCTAAAGCCTCTCAAACCCTAAAGCCCAAGGACCTGTAAGCACAAACCCGAAAACCTCTTAAACCCTAATGCCCAAGGCCCAGTAGGCCCTCAAACTTCAGTGGAGCCCAAACCCACGAGCCCGAGGCGCGCAGGCCACAAAGTTTTGCACAACGTCTACGGAGAAAAAACAATAACAATAAACGCGCACACACACACACACACCCACGCACGCACGCACGCACGCACGCACGCACGCACGCACGCACGCACGCACGCACGCACGCACGCACGCACGCACGCACGCACGCACGCACGCACGCACGCACGCACACACGCACGCACGCACGCACGCACGCACGCACGCACGCACGCACGCACGCACGCACGCACGCGCGCGCGCGCGCGCGCGCGCGCGCGCGCACAGATTCTAGGGTCTGGGGTCTGGGGTTTTGGGGGGGCGGGATTGGGGTTTGGGAAGTTTTTTGAAGGGGGTTTAGGTTGGGATGATACTAGCAGTCCTGATAGGGATGACAGTACCCCCCCCCCCCCCCCATCATAATCCCTATTAAGGACTGTTAGTATAAGCGGTGAACGTCCCAAGGTTTAGGGCTTCAGGGTTTCCACTTGGGCTCCGCCAGTTCAACTCCTTCCGTTCTGGCTTCCAGTCCTACGAAAGAAACCTAGCAGCCCTGGTTTAGCTGGGCTCCTAAACGCTAAACCCTAAACCCTAAACCCTAAACCCTAAACCCTAAACCCTAAACCCTAAACCCCCACCCCAAGGCTCTTGCAGCTAGGGAGCCGAGTCTTGCCCAGGAGCCACTGGGTCCGAAGGGCCTCGGCCCAGGATTTTCGGGGGTTCGGGTCGTGCAAAGCAGGGTTTAGGGTTTAGGGTTTAGGGTTTAGGGTTTAGGGTTTAGGGTTTTAGGGTTTTAGGGTTTAGGGTTTAGGGTTTAGGGTTTAGGGTTTAGGGTTTAGGGTTTTAGGGTTTAGGGTTTAGGGTTTAGGGTTTAGGGTTTAGGGTTTAGGGTTTAGGGTTTAGGGTTTAGGGTTTAGGGTTTAGGGGAGCCTTCGAAAGCCAACTGCACCGAAGTTCAACACCCCGACTTCAAGGAGCGGGCGGAGGGAGCTCCCAGCTGGCGCCTGAGCTGCAAGGACTTGAGAAGGGTTTAGGGTTTAGGGTGTAGGGTGTAGGGTTTAGGGTTTAGGATTTAGGGTCAAGGGTTTAGGGTTTAGGGTTTAGGGTTTAGGGCTCACAGTCGAAGAGGGTTAGGGGTAGAATCTGTGCTTACGGCTTGGGGCTTAAGATCTGGGGTGTAGGGTCTAAGATTTAGCGTTTCTAAAGGCCGTTCACTTGATCTAAATCATGGCCATTTTTGTGGAACCCTACAACCCGAAACCATAAGCAAGCAAGAAGAGTGCTGAAATCAACGCGGTGGGCCCCCTTTTGGGGGCCTTCGTCATACACGCACAAGGCAGGACACCCCTCCCCCAACCGCACACATGGGAGTGCAACAAAGGACGTCTGTTTAGTCGTTCGTGTCCGCTAAACCTCTTAACACGACGACTGTTGCGGTCCGCCTGTTCGGCCGAACTTCGGCTTCGTTGAACCGAAGCCCCTAAACCCAAAACACCGTTATGGGGCTTATGGCTTGGGATGCGCCCCCCTTGTACTAACAGTCCTTAATAGGGATTGTACTACCTCCCATGATCATCCCTATTAAGGGCTGTTAGTATAGGGGGGAGCATCCCAAGGCTTGTGGATGGAAAGTTGAGTGCTCAAGCTACTGCCCTTTGCACTCTGGGACCCGCGCGCTGCCCGTTCGGAGCAAAACGGCCCCGCCTGGATTTCAGGTTTGGGGCTTCGGCCTTAGGAATCACAAGTGATTGAGGTTGGAGTTCGTACTCGGGGCCCAAAACCCTAAAGCTCTGTGACGATGGCTCCTAAACTCTCTCGGATCTAAGCAAAGACCCTGCACCCCAGAACATCCCGTAACCCCAAACCCTAAGCCCGTCTCTACTTTTGGCCACTGTTTTCCGTGTGGAAAACCCAGAGAATGACAATAAAATAGTAAACACCCCTAAACACCCCTTTACACCCCAAAGCCTTACTGACGGAGTCCGAGGGTAGAATGCTGACTTGAAGTTCAAGGCTTTAGGGCTTACGGTTCACCAATGTTCCACCCACACCACCACACTTGTGCTCTGTATTCACGTCCCTGCTCCAACCCATGTTTGGGGTATAGGGTTTAACCTCACTGGGTTTAGGGTCTAGGGTTTAGGGTTCAGCGTTCAGCGTTGAGGGCTTGGGGTGGGTTTAGGGCAATACAGGGATTCCGGGTTGCGGGTATGGGGCTCGGGGTTCTGATTCTTGGGGTTTCTCTGGCCTGGCCCAAAGCTCCACAACGCAAATCAATACTGAAATGAAACGATAACGAACGGTTTGGTGAGTCGAGGGTTCAGGGCACAACTTCCACGAGGCCCTACACCCCAAACCCTAAACCCTAAACCCTAAACCCTAAACCCTAAACCCTAAACCCTAAACCCTAAACCCTAAACCCTAAACCCTAAACCCTAAACCCTAAACCCAACCCGTCACCCTCACTCCAGCCCGCCTCCGTTCTCTTCAGCAACCGCCGACGTCGCAGCGTCAGCGGCAGCAGCGTGACTGGCAAATCCGACCCCAAGCTGAACACCCCGCCGGCCCTGATGGGTGTGAGGACTTAAGGGCCCCAAACCCTAAACCCTAAACCCTAAACCCTAAATCCTAAACCCTAAACCCTAAACCCTAAATCCTAAACCCTAAACTATATAAGGGGTAGGAGCCGGTGTGCTGCTACTCCTTCCAGGAACGCAGCTGGCTTTGGGCCTTCAGGGCTCTCGGAGCTCTCTAGGCGCGTTCAGTTGAAAGAACGCCGGCTCGGCTTCGGTTATTGGTTATTGGTTATTGGTTATTGGTTATTGGTTGTTGGTTGTTGGTTGTTGGCTATTGGTTATTGGTTATTGGTTTAGGGTTTAGGGCTTAGGGTTAAGGTTTAGGGTTTAGGGTTTAGGGTTTAGGGTTTAGGGTTTAGGGTTTAGGGTTTAGGGTTTAGGGTTTAGGGTTTAGGGCCCAAATCAAAACTGTCATTCTAAGGATACAGGCACGCCTGTCACCCCGAACTCTCAGATCAGCTTAAGTCACAATCCTGAGGCTCGATGCTCCTTTCCACTGCACCCTCAACTTGCAAGTACGGCGATCCTCCCACCACGAAACCCTGAAAGATTTCACGTTCTCCGCAGCTCATTCTGATACGTGGCCAACGTGCGACGTCTGCCAGCGAGATCCTCCAAGCTTGAAAGCCGCGCTAAACCCCTTAAGCCCCCAACCCTTGCACCCCTCAAATCCTGAACCCGCTACAGTGTTAATCCCTCAAGTAGTCCTAAACCCCAATTAAACCCCAAACCCTAAACACTAAACCCTAAACCCTAACCCCCACTTGCTGAAGGCTCCTCAGGCCCACGAGGCGCGGCGGCTGAAGGACCTAAATCGTCCCGACATGGTCTAGGGGATTCTTGGGGCTCACAGGGTTTAGGGTTTAGGGTTGAGGGTTTAGGGTTGAGGGTTTAGGGTTTAGGGTTTAGGGTTTAGGGTTTAGGGTTTAGGGTTTAGGGTTTAGGGTTTAGGTTTAGGCTCAAGGAGTCAGGGCTAAACAATCAAGGGTTCAAGGTGAGCCGCTCGCCTGCGAACGAGACAAAACCTACCTAAAACTAGGGCCCAGGGTGTTTTAGGGTTTTGGGTGTTAGGGTTCAGGGTTTAGGGTTTAGGGTTTAGGGTTTAGTGTTTAGGGTTTAGGGTTTAGGGTTTAGGGTTTAGGGTTTAGGGCTTTTTGTTAGGGGTTTTGGGTGTTAGGGTTCAGGGTTCCCGGAGTATGGGGGGGGTTTTGCCGTGCAGCGTTCGTTTCAGAGCAGTGTTGCCATTTGGGGTATGCAGGAAAACTGAAGCACTCTCTGCGGCCACTGGCTCAAGCTCGCTTTAGGGTTCAGGATTTGGGCTTAGGGTTAGGGTTTAGGGTAAGGGTTAAGGGTTAAGGGTTCAGGGTGTTCACCTGCACCTCATGGGCGCAGGGCGCAGAAAGCTCGTGCAATCCTGCGCCCGAAGTGGCTCTGTTTTGCTTGCTTTCCTCCAACTAGTGTGGGCGAGAGTCATCTCAACCTCAAGTTCAGGGTGTTCGTTTAAGAGTGAAGGTAGGGTTCAGGGTTTAGGAGTTCCTCCTCCGAGCTCCCGGCCGAGAAGCCACCGACGGAGTGAAGGTGCCCCCCCGGCTCTGCCGTGGAGTACCTTGCAGAGGAGGGGGGGGAGGAGAGGGGGGCTTAGGGTTTAGGGTTTAGGGCTTAGGGTTTAGGGTTTAGCGCTTAGGGTTTAGGGTTTAGGGTTTAGGGTTTAGGGTTTAGGGTTTAGGCTCTCCTGGGTGCGTCTGAGGTCTAGGAGAAGATGTTGGGTTCCACGGTGGCAGAGGCGAGTGTAAGACGTTCGTAAGCCCCACAAAACCCAAAACCCTATCGGCTGGAGATGGTGTGCACAGCCCTGAAGGCGCAAGCATCCCTGACCCCATGCCTGCGTTTGCAGCAGGTTGGGCGCGCGTGTTTTGGCATGTCGGTGCGTGCATTTGGCAAGTTTTGCCATGTGGGCGCGTGTTTTTGGCACGTCTGCGCGTATTGTGCGCATGTCGGCGCGTACTATTGGCATGTCGGCGGCTCCTCATAGAACCATCTCGGCGCGCATTTTTGCATGTCGGCGAAAAATCTAGTTTTGACATGTAGGCGGTCGGCGTCTCATTTCCGCATGGTGTGGTGGTTGATCCCAATGGTGGATTAAATTGGTCTGAATGCTGGTGTGCTTTGCAGTAACCGGGGCGCGTGCACCTGGAGTAAAGGCAGTGCAAGACATGGTCTTCTGCACACCCCCCCCCCCCCCCATGTGCTGGCCGCATGTTTTGAGAAAGTTTCTCGGGCCGATGACCAAACTACCTCAGGCATTTGGTGCGATCTTCAAGCCTAAGGGCAAGCGCGAGTTTGGCTTCGGCTTCCCTTTGACTGACCCAAGCCTATGCCCATGTCCCCCCCCCCTCCCTGAACACACAAAGAATTCGTAGGGTTCGGTATCTAGAGCGACCCCTCGAAACCCTCGCAGGAAGCATCCTGAAGAGCCGCAAGCTAGACCCTAAACCCTAACCTCTGGACAAGGAAACCGAGAACCCTGAAATCTGAAGCCCTGAAGCCCCAAGAACCTAAACCCTACATCCTTGCAAACAACAAACCCTAAACCCTAAACCCTAAACACTATAACAAAGCCCCTAAGGCCGTCCGGGCTGCGACACCAAGACGCTGCCGGCGGCCTCCATAACGCTGGGGCGTCTTGCCTTGACCTTTGGGCTTGGGTTTAGGGTTTAGGGTTTAGGGTTTCGGGTTTCGGGTTTCGGGTTTCGGGTTTCGGGTTTCGGGTTTCGGGTTTCGGGGTTTACGGGTTTACGGGTTTACGGGTTTACGGGTTTCGGTTTAGGGGGTAGCGTTTTGTTCGGTGCCTTCGGGCGAAGGGGATAGGGCAACCCTCAACCCTGAATCCTGAACCCTAAAACCTAAACCCCTAAACCCTAAACCCTAAACCCTAAACCCTAAACCCTAAACCCTAAACCCTAAACCCAGGAGCGTTTTTTTGCAAGCCCAAGCTGTAAGGGAATATGGGAATCTCCTACTACGCGAGCTCCACCCAGACCTGAGGGTGGTTCGATGGTCCCTTGGTATGGGCCCTTATGTCCCCCTTACATACCCTATAGGAATTAAGAGCCCATACGTCAGAACCTTTGGGGGGGGGGGGGGGGGCTCGGGAGTACCTTAAGGGCCCATGTAAATATTACTTCAGACCAGAAGAAGCCTTACCTAAACCTTATGTGGCCTTGTGTGGGTACGGGGGGTACCTGGCGCAATTCAACCAGGCTACAAAGAAAATGTTGGCGTCTGAGGCTCTGAAGGTCAACCTTCCAGTTGCTAGCGCATTCCGAGAAAAAAAAAAAAAAAAAAAACGCATGCGCGAAGATTCTACAGTTACCCTATGTGTTGAGGCTTCGGGTTTAGGGCCCTAAACCCTAAACCCTAAACCCTAAACCCTAAACCCTAAACCCTAAACCCTAAACCCTAAACCCTAAATCCTGCTTGTAGAGTCAACCCAGGGCCCTGGTCGGGATTGGCCCTCGGGCATGATCCTGTCGCCAGCGCTGGTAGTCTTCTCGGAAGCCCTGGGAGGCAAGGCGCAGCCCCTGAACCCGAGGTCTAGGGTCTGGGGTCTGGGGTTTAGGGTTTAGGGTTTAGGGTTTAGGGTTTAGGGTTGAGGGTTTAGGGTTGAGGGTTTAGGGTTTAGGGTTTAGGGTTTAGGGTTTAGGGTTGAGGGTTGAGGGTTGAGGGTTGAGGGTTGAGGGTTGAGGGTTGAGGGTTTAGGGTTTAGGGTTTAGGGTTTAGGGTTTAGGGTTTTTTTTAAGGGCTGCCATGCGCTTCCAACATGCTTGCTGAACATGGGGAACATACTCGGTGCGCGCGTTGGCGCAGTGCGTAAGAGGTCGCCAAACTGGGGATCTTTGGACATTAAATGTTTGAGACCCAGAAAGTCCCTTCGGGCTTCTGGGTTTTGGGCGGAGTAGTGTATGTTGTAGAATCTTACAGCTTCTTGGGAAACTAGTTCGAACCAGTATCTACAGGCTGTCCACGTGTTCGGGATTTGGTAAATTTAATACGGTCCTTGTAGCCCGGAGAGAACACTACGTGGTGGACGGGGTGGGTTTAGGGTTTAGGGTTTAGGGTCTAGGGTCTAGGGTCTAGGGTTTAGGGTTTAGGGTTTAGGGTTTAGGGTTTAGGGTTTCGGGTTTAGGGTTTAGGGTTAGGGTTTAGGGTTTAGGGTTTAGGGTTTAGGGTTCGGGCTTCGGGCTTAGGGTTTAGGGATCAGGTTCCTAAAACCCCAAAGCCTAAGCTCTACCGGCAAGCCCCCAAGCAACCCTTCAGAAGGTCCCGGGTGCCCCACGTTGGTCAAGCCCTAAACCCTAAACCCTAAACCCTAAACCCTAAACCCTAAACCCTAAACCCTAAACCCTAAACCCTAAACCCTAAACCCTAAACCCTAAACCCCTGAACCCTTTACCTGCAGGCCAGGGGCCTGGCATCACCCCGCACACAAGGGGGAATACGACAATAGGGTTCGAGGACCCCCGAACAGAGCCCTGTGGAAGAAGTGGCTCCGAACCTTGAACCCTATGTTTAGGGTTTAGGGTTTAGGGTTTAGGGTTTCGGGTTTAGGGTTTAGGGTATGAAGCCTGAACGCTAAGCCCGCGAAGAAAGAACAGCGGACAGGAGCGTTGGCGGCAGCCCGGCAGTCAGATGCATATCTTTTAAGGCGGGCTCAGGGTTTTAAACCCTAAACCCTTTGCGGTTTAGGGGCAACTTCCAAAGATCCTGAAAAGACCCTAATCCGTCCCACCCCCCCCCCCCCCCCACGCACCCCTAGACCCGAAACCCTAAACCCTAAATGGGGCCTAAACCCGAAACCCTAAACCGAAACCCGAAACCCTAAATCCTAAACCCGAAACCCGAAACCCGAAATCCTACGTGTCGAACCCCCAACGGTCGCCTGATCCCCCTCGGCCGTGGTGGCGCCCTTGGGCGCTTCCTCACTCTCCACGAAGACCATGAGGATGAACGATATGAGAACCTCAAGGGTCTTTAGGGGTTCAGGGTTCAGGGTTCAGGGTTGAGTGTTGAGAGTTGAGAGTTGAGAGTTGAGAGTTGAGAGTTGAGAGTTGAGAGTCGAGGGGTTTAGATTCCACGTCGTGCCGGTGCACTTCTGGGCTTTGGAGGTGAAAGATACAACGGCGGGGGGGGGGGTGGCGGGGAGTAGGGTTCAGGGCTTTGGGTTGGGGTTCAGGGACGGGAGGAGGGGGGCATGGGTTCTCAGGTCAATTTGCTGAAGGTTGGCTTGCTCACGAAATCCGAAGGCGATCACTCTCCCCCATCAATCCCACAATAAAAACTACCTGGGTTTTAAGAGCTTTCGGCAAGACGAAGCTGGGCGACTAAACCGCAGCCAGCATCGCACACCTCGCCGAGGAGAGTTCAGGATCAAGGGCCTAGGTAGGGTTTATTTAGGGTTTCGGGTGTAGGGTTTAGGGTTTAGGGTTTAGGGTTTAGGGTTTAGGGCTTGAGGTCCAGGATCCTCCTCACCCCTCTCCCCTGCGTTTCTGGACTTGGGACTTAGGGTTGAGGGGTTGAGGGCTTAGGGTTGGGGATTTTGGCGTCTTGTTGGGTTTCGGGATTTTGGGGCTTAGCATTCTTGTTGCTACTACCCCGTGCGCTGGTCCGCGCGCGCATTGTCGGCGCTGCAGTGTTGAGCTCTCTTGAGGGGTCGGGACATTTCCACGTACGCAGGGCGGGATCCCGGTATTCTTGCTGTGGCCTTGTGGTCCGGATATCCTGCAACCCTAAACTCTGAACCCTAAGCCCTAAACCCTGAACCTAAACCCTCAACCCTGCTTGGCGGGGCTTGGGCTCTATGAAGGGAGAGAAGGGAAAGGCGGGGGGGTTCAGGGTTTAGGGTTTAGGGTTTCGGGATTAGGGTTAAGGGTTCAGAGTTCAGAGTTTAGGGTTTAGGGTTCAGAGTTTAGGGTTTAGGATTAAGGGTTTAGGGTTTAGGGTTTAAGGGTTTAGGGTTTAGGGTTCAGAGTTTAGGGTTTAGGGTTAGGCTCTCGGGTTTGGGGTTCAGGTTCGCGTGCTCGAGTTTTGCGCTAGTTGAGGATTTAGGGGCCCAAGAGACTCATACCAGCACAGCCTGCTTTCCCTGACCCCTAACCCCGAACCCTAAACCCTAAACCCTAAACCCTAAACCCTAAACCCAAACCCTAAACCCTAAACCCTAAACCCTAAACCCTAAACCCTAACCTCCCACGAGAAAGCAGGGCCTTGACGTTGCCGCGGAGGGACTCCATGCCAAAGATGCCGAAGCGACCGATGACCTCATGCCATCCCAAAACCCTAAACCCTAAATGGGTACATAAGGGTTTAGGGTTCAGGGTTCAGGGTTCAGGGTTTAGGGTTAGGGCTTAAGGTTTAGGGTTTAGGGTTCAGGGTCTAGGGAGGGTTTAGGGTTGAGAGTTTAGGGTTTACCGGCAAAGGCCCCTGAATGGCCAAGACCTTACAAAAACTCTGAAGTACATGGTCCCTTACCTTCCTTGCAGGGTTCTGAAGTGCGCGCCCTTGGGTTTTATAGGGAAAAGGTATAGACGGGCTCCACAGTTAAGTGCCCATAGGGACCATGCAACTACCCTAAGATTAAACCCTGAACCCTCTTTACCACCCTAAACCCTAAACCCTAAACCCTAAACCCTAAACCCCCAAAACCCCTATACCCTGAGCAGCCGGCATAGCCCACGACCAAGTTGACGAAGTGGTACAGCCTGATGGCTGCCGTCAGATTGGGTGTAGAGCTCATTTCGGGGCTTCCGAGAATATGGTTTAGGGTTTAGGGCTTCCCGAAAAACGCTCCAAACTTGAGAGGTCAGACCCTGAACCATAAAGCTGCGCTTCCAAACCAGAGTCCCTAAGCCCATGAAGCCCTGAACCGTAAAACCCTTTAAGTGGTCAGATTCCTCTTCATGGCTGCAACCAAGCAAGGAAGGAGAAGCTCCCTCACGGAGGGGTTTAGGGTTTAGGGTTTAGGGTTTAGGGTTGAGGGTTGAGGGTTGAGAGTTGAGGGTTTAGTGTTTAGGGTTTAGGGTCTTAGAGTCTTTGGAGTCAGGGCCGAGGGCGAAAGCGCCACTCGAAAGCTGCTGGGAGTGCGGAGTAGACTCTTCGACCGGACCCCACCTTTCCCAAAGCATACTTTCTAACGCCAAGAGCCTTTCACTAACCTTTGGAGACACCTACATCTAGGGTTCAGGGTAATAGGGTGCCTTAGGGTTTAGGCTTTAGGGTGCTTAGGGTTTCGGGTGTTTCCGGGCGTAGGTTTACCCGAAGATGTGCGGAAAGCACACCCCCGCATACTGGAACCTTGCTTGGCCCCGCGCGAGAAGCCCGGCCCGATGCCTAGCAGCCTGGAGCTGGGGTTCAGGTTGGGTTTTGGGTTTTGGGTTTTGGGTTTTGGGGTTTAGGGTTTTGGGTTTAGGGTTTAGGGTTTAGGGTTTAGGGTTTAGGGTTTAGGGTTTAGGGTTTAGGGTTTAGGGTTCAGGGCCTAGAGTAGGCCAAGAACCAGCAAGTAGGGCTCAACAATGTTCCGGTTTACGGCCTAATGTACGTGTTCAGGACTCACTCTGTGGCACCGATATTCTCTGAAGAGCGGGCCGGAGGGTCGGTGTCCAGAAAAGGCCCGGGAACCCGTTTGGGTGTCATGGCATCAGGACACCAGAGGGACTTAAGAGCTTCTCAATTGCTACAAACGGCTCAGCCCGAAACCCCAAACCCTAAACCCTAAACCCTAAACCCCAAAACCTTAAACCCCTAAACCCCTAAACCCTAAACCCCAAAACCCTAAACCCTTGGCCTGCTCTTGTGCTTGCACTCCCTGCCACCCTGAACCCCCGAGATGGAAGGTCGAGCTCTAAAACATGCCCAGCAACTTGACCACAGGCAGGACCAAGTAGTTCGAAAGCCTTCATCGGGGGTTTCGGGTTTAGGGTTTAGGGTTTAGGGTTTACCAAGTGTTCGAAAGCCTTCATCGGCTTTGCTGTCAAGGGCTTAGGGTTTATGCGGGCCTCTTGGCGGAAGATATTCGTCAAGTCCCTTATCCCTGCGGAGCTTGGTTTCCCGATATGGATTTGGGTGTAGGGATTAGGGCTGATACGAACTGAAACCCTAAACCCTAAACTAAACTAAACATATCCCAAGCCAGCCGTAGACTGACACTGTTCGTTTCCATCAGTATCCCGCCCTCCACCCTCAGGCAAAGACTGCATGGGTCAATCATTTCCGATGCGTTCAACTGGCAGGCTCTTCGGAGACTTCCCAGCGATGCCACTCCCATCACGGGTGGGTGGGTGGGAACAAAAGTTGTAGCCCACCCTTCATCGGGCCTGGTGGGCTACTTCGAGCATTCGGCTGCAGGCACTGTTGCCCTCCCTGCCGCCCGAATGTACTACTCACACGTGTCGCTCATGCAATTCTTGCATTCTACGACACTGTTCGTTTCCATCAGTATCCCGCCCTCCACCCTCAGGCAAAGACTGCATGGGTCAATCATTTCCGATGCGTTCAACTGGCAGGCTCTTCGGAGACTTCCCAGCGATGCCACTCCCATCACTCATGGCTCGCCGCGTCGCCCCTTTTGAAGCCTGCACTTCTTGCACCGGGCGGAGTCTTCTGGAGGCGTTAGGAAGAGCGTGAAATGACTATTTCTGGCGAAGTGCCAGCCACACCGGGTCTTCCACGTAGCTGACGAGTCAGACGGTCGATGTTTTTGGTCGAGCAAGTGGATGACTTTGGACCGGCCAAAGGACTTTATCCATCTCGGCTCTGGTAGTCGGAGATCACCTGGGGATGGGTGGTCCACGACTGCGACCTCTTCTGCTTCACAGTGGACTTCTCGGTTGCGACCACACGAACGACCGGGAGCATCGCAAAGGACGTGAGGCTTCGGAGGTGATTGGCCTGGTCCTTCACCGTCTTGGTTGATCGGGAGCTTTTCCCAGGCTTGATCAGCGTACTCGAACACTAAGTTGCTGTGCCATCTCCCAAGGTAGGTGATGACTGATACTTCCAAGCCAGCACGCGTGTAAAACATCGCCCCTGACCTTCTGGGCGAGTGTCCAGTGAGAGGTCTTCCCGCCGCTCGGGCCCAGGCGTTCACGATGTGGGCGCCAGAAAGATGTTCGCCTTCTGACGACGACGTAATCCATGGTCCCTGAGTGTGGTCTCCCAGCAAGTTCGCCCGGCGGAAGGACTGCTGCAAGGCGTAGGCGACTTCAACGGGGCAGGTCGCCGGGGAAGAGGAGCACGTACAGCCAAGTGATCTCTGCACGCCCTTCTCCGCCTGGTCGCACTTCGATCTGGGAATCGTGACGGTGACCATGTCCCTCACGTCCGTGACCGTCAGGTGCCCCAGTCGCAGCCACTCGAGTTCTCCCCTTCTGAGCATGAAAGAGAGCGCGAAGCCGTAGGTCAAGAAGGGAAAGGCGAGGGCACCCGGTGTCAAGTCGCATTCCAATGCCTCTGGGCCGAAATCCCTGAGTTGGACTTCGGGCGCTCTAGTCGGGGGACCCAAACCGCGTTTTACAGCCCTTTTACATAACTCAAAGGTTCTCTGCAGAGCTGGCCCGACAACATAGTCCTGTTCTCGATGCACAGTTCGCAGATGCCCGAGGTACTGGTCTGCGGACCGGAAGGAGGCCGCTTTCAGGGCGGCTGCCACTTTGACCACAGTGTCTGGACGTAGTGGGAAAGCTTCTCGTCGGCCACACACCGCCAACGCAAGGGTCTCCACGTCGTGTTGCTTCTTAGCCACCGGCGCCTGGTTCGACTGTGCGAAGAAATCCTTCTTGAGCATCGCCACCGCCGCTTCCAGTTTGTCGGGCTCCTGCGCTACTGAGAGAGCCTCCGCGAACTTGCCGGTCTTGGTGGCCTCCGCCCTGGATTCTCTTTCTCCAGGTTGCCGGCGTCCGACGCGGTCTGGGCTTGCTCTTCCACAAAGGTCTGCGGGGCGTCGGGCTCTGTGAACTGGAGGGCGCCGAGCTGAGCCGACAAACCGGGGCGGTGGACGGCCTAGCACTCTGCACATGGACTTTTCAACTGCGCCGCTCAGACCGTCCACGTTCTTTGGGTTTCTTCTCTGCGGATTGCCTCTGTTCTTCCCATCAGAATCTGGAGCCTCGAAGGTTCGGGCTCTCCTGGCATCCTCCCGTACCTCAAGAACGGCGGGGCATCTGGAGGGCGTGGACCATGGAAGGGAGCAAAGCGGAGTGGTAGTGGAGGAGCTTGTGTGGCATCCCATGAGGAGCCGCTTCCTGGCGGCGGGTTGCCCACCTCCAGTCCACTCGATGTTCGGAGTCGAGGTGTCTCGGATCGTTCTTGGGGGTGGTCCACCTCTTGTCGGAGTTCCGGCTTCCGGTTCACGTGCTCTCGCTGGTGTTCTGGATCGTGGTCTTGAAGGTGCCCGCGGCCTCGGCCTCGAAGGTGTCCTCGGACTCGTAGAGGAGCACGTGCTACCCAAACTAGCTTCCAGATCGCCTAGACCAGCTTCAGTGTTAGCCACGTCGCCCTGCGCACCCATGCAGCTAACCAGAGAGCCGCCCTCACGCCCCACATGACGAGTCGCGGCCGCCCCCATCATGACAAGTGGAAGGAGGCCCAGAGCATGGAAGGGGGAAAGGTGGCCAGGGTCCATGCCACGCAAGTGGCTGCCAGGAGCCATGGCGCTGCGGCGCCGACTGCTGGGATTACAAGGTTCCACTGAGGGGGGCTGTAAGCTACCACTTCCATGCTGGCGACCTGGCAGAAGCAAACCAGTGAGCAGATGCAAACAACATGTTGCGCATCAGCATGTTCTGCATGCACATGTCTGTGTTGCCTGTGTAACTAACATGTGTGCACTCCAAAAAAAAATTTTGTCTGACTCGTCTGGTGTTTGCTCTAGCCCTTTATGGCTGCCCAGGCCGCAGCTACCGCCACATCGGCGTCATGCGCCGCCTTGCACGCCAAGGGCAAAGCGAAACTCGAGGCAGTGAGCTTCGGTGGGGTGCGGATTTTAGCTCCTTTCAAGGGGCCTGGCAACTGCTCCCCTCGCGACTGCGGCCGAGAAAGGTAGTCCGCCAAGATGTTGAGCTTGCCGGGGATGTGAGAAGGGATTGCCTCCAAGACTCGGAGCTTCTCCAACATGAGGGTGATCTCTCCAGCCAGAACGTTGAGTGCCGGAGACGAGGAGGAAGCCTTCTCGAGGAGCGCGAGGGCCACCGTCGAGTCGGATCGGATGGCCAGCGCCACATGGATGCCGCAGAGAACGCCTGCCCAGGTCCGGAGCGCCATGAGAATCGCCAGGGCTTCCAGGTAGGCCTGCGAACGGTGCGACCACAACTCAAAACCCAAGAGGTCTGCGTCTTCGGGCCCGATGGGGTATTCGTAGGCCTCGAGAATGGACCATGTCGCCCTTTCGTGCGGTCTGATCAGTAGCATCCCACCACAGCCTTGCGGCGAAGCGTCCGTCACCACCATAAGCGTGACCGGGAGCTGCCAAAGAGACTTCTTGGTGCGCAGGTGCTCTTGCTGGAACAGACTCTTTAGCCATTGCCTTGCCACTTCGAAGCGACGGACGGGGACGAGGTGGTCCTTGGGCCTGTTGTCCACTCGGCGGGCGCGGCGGCTCGCCTCTGTACCGTCCTTCAGGTCCGCTTCGTGTCCTGCGATCGCCCCGTGCACCATGGAGACCGCCCATTTGGCTCTGCGGTAGATGCCCGCGGCCCACGTGAGCTTGCCGGCGAAGGATCGGAGCTCAGCCAAAGCGACCATGCCGGCGTTCTCCCACGCCGTGAGCTTTTCGAGGATCTCGGCCTTGAGCTTCTCCGGCACCTCCGTGTAGAGACAGCCTTCCCGCCAGTTCAAGCCAAAGTGGACGCCTATCCAGGTCAGGGCTGTGCCGCGCGCCCCTTTGCTCCACGACATCTGCACCCCCAAAGCTGCCAACGTGAGTAGGCAGAGACTCAGATTTCTCAGCCGCCGTGGTCTGGAACCCACCAAGAGCATCAGCCGATCATCAACATATGTGGCCAAGGAGAGCTCCGCGTGCCAGTATAGGCCTTGGATCAGTCTCGTCAACAAGGCGGCGAACCTGCACATCACGAGGGGTGCTGATTTGTGGCCAAAGAAGAGCGCGATGAAGACGTAGGCGTGGATGCCGTCTCCGGCCGGGGACACGCATTGTCCAAGCTCCTCCCACGCCACCGGGAAATGCGTGAAGGCGTCCGTCAGGTCTGCGGATACCAACTCCGCCCCCCACTCACTCCAGTCTGTGGATGAGCTTTGGTACCACCTCCGCAAATCCGGCTCCACCGACTTCATGTCCAAGAGGGCGCGGTGGATGTCCTCACAGCGGGGCAGGATGATGCGCTCCGGGCATTTTGCCCGGCCATTGGCTCCAGACCGGAGGGCATCAACGATCACCCTCCTCTTCTTCGTTCCGTCTTCCTTTTCCTTCACGATCAAGGCCAGCTTCGAGAGCACCGGGTCGCCAAACGAACTTTTGACCTGGTCCAGCGTAAGCTTCTTCACGAAGCCTTTGCTTTCCAGTCGCGACATCTCGGCTGCGGCATCGACCGGGCTGTCCCTGAATGAAGCGTAGTTTCCCATTTCGGCCCAGGACCTCACCGCAGCCTCTGCTTCCCTCGCGGAGTCCTTGTCCTCGTCCCTCGCAGGAAAAATGCCTGCGCAAGGAATTTCCAGGTTCGCTCCCAAGGGCGCCCCACTGCGCAACCAGTCGACGACCACTGGGTCGGGGTCACCAGCTTTGGCCACCCACGCTTCTAGCAGATCTGTGTCCACCGGCGTCGTGTAGTCAAGCGGGCCCTTCAAAGTGACTGTCTTCGTCTTCACCTCAGGAAGCTTAAAGTGGCTTCGGAGCGTCAGTTTCCACTCGTCCACGAAGTTGAGTTGAAAGGTTGGGGTCCCATAGAGCTCGGCTGCCTTCTGGGCCCCCGGACACTGCTTTGTGAAGGTGTCGAAGAGGTCGGATACCCCACGGCCCACGTCTCTGACCCCCGGGGCCCTCTCCAGCGACCAGACTGGCCTTCTGAGCCCCCCGATGGCAGCCTTGTTCTCAGCGTCCCGCAGCATCTTCTTCGATATGGTCTCACGTAGCATGCCATGCTTGCCCGTTCCCCCAGACCATTCTGCATCAGCGACTGGCACACCTCTCGGAGGCAAAGCTTCGGCCGGCATTTTTGGCGGGCACGTGTCCAACGACCTCGGGATCTTGGCTCGAGACTTTACCCAAGTGCCCACAACCAGCTGGGCGTAGAAGTGACACAACCTGCGAGGGTAGGCTGCTGACTTTGATGAGTTTTCCTTGCCCACGACCTTCGGATGAACAAAGTCCGTGGGGCACCTGCACTGATCGTACAAGGAACTCAGGCCTTTCAGCTTCCCGACGAACCTTTGGGGCTTCCAGAAGAGGGGCTCGTCGAAGGCCGGGTCTGCGTAGCAGCACGTGTTGAAGTCGGCAAACTCAACGCCGGATCGACTGACCCACCTGTCCACTTCCGGGAGCGCGAAAGCGGAAGCCGCCTCGGGGTGTGACGTCTCCGGCGGGTTCTCCATGGTCACGGGCCTAGGGATGCCATCTTTCTTCTCGGCGTCCTCGACAAGCTTCAGGATCTCCACGGAGAGGATGGCCCCGAGTGTGCCCCTGTCTGCTTCTTCCTGCTGTTTTCGGTCGTTCGAGGGCAAGCCGTAGATGTGCTTCCGAGAACGCACCGGGCCCGGGTAGTTCGGGTCTGACCTCCACCTCAAAAGGGAGAAGGTGGTGCAGGGAAAACCGGAGTGGCCTCCGTGGAACCAACCCTCCAGCGCCTTGGTCTTTAGCGTCGTCACAAGCTTGGGGTCCAGGAGGTTGTGCGTTGAATCTCGCTCCAGATCGTAGGCCTCCACCGTCACGTCGATCCCCTGCTTCTTTGCCTCAGCAACCAGAGCGGCGCCCAGGCGGTCTTCCTTCCCAGCAAACAGGTGGAGGAACCTAAGGGCCATGGCAACGAAACCTACGAACATATGTAAGTGCACTACCGGAGCGGTGCAACAAAGTGTTCAGGACCTCAACTCAGGGAACAGCGACAGCACACCCTTTTACCTTAACATGAGAAAGCATGGCACACGCAACTGTGGCAGTCTTGCAAGGTCCCTGCGAGCCGTCGTCAAACGCCAGTGCGCTCCCGACAGCAAGTGACAGCACACCCTTTACACAAGACATGAGAAAGCATGGCGCACGCAACTGTGGCAGTCTTGCAAGGTTCCCTGCGAGCCGTCGTCTAACGCCAGAGCGCTCCCGACAACCCACGTCACAACCAGCTACCAGCAGAGGCACACACCAGCTTGCTCTCACAATGCACAGTCCTAGCTAGTGCGACCGTCTCTCCTTTTCAGCTCTTCTGGGGACAGTCTCCTGACCGGTGTCCCGGGCTAAGGCACAGTCGGCATTTGTGCGCTCGTTTAACCCGTGCTTTGCATGGGTCTGCTGTTCCGCACTCAGCACATGTGCCTCTGGCCGCATCCCACGAATAGCACAACTCCCGGCCTGCTTGGTCCTTCGACTTGAGGCTGTCGCCCTTTCCTCCGCCTTTTGCCGTAGGCGAAGAAGACTGATGCGCCGCTGCCGATCTCAGATTCTTCAGCTCTTCCTTTTCTGCTTGCCACTTGCGCTTCTTTGCTTGCCTTCTTTCCTTGTTCGTCTTCTTGCCCGGCGAAATGGTGTCCACGATCGGCTCGATGGCACTGACGCCCCCGGCGAGGTTGTCCTGAGCGAAAGTCTCCGCCGGCGTCTTGAGGGCGCCTCTGCCCCCCGAAGCGATCCATGCATTCGCTGGGCTCCGGACCTGGTCCTCCCAGAAACTATGGTCCCCGACTAAGAGATGCAAGCAAGCAATCCATGGCTTCAGGGGGTCCCAGCGATCTGGCGGAGCACGCCCAGCGGCCACGTCTGAGACGACTTTGATGCGAATCCTTGACCACTTCTCCCCCCTGGCCTTCTCGTCCGCCAGCACAATCAGGTGCCATGCCGAAGGATACAAGCGGGTGAGCTTCTCAATGTGTCTCTCGTACAACTGAAGGGAGGCCAATGGGAGAACGTCCAACATGATCGCCGCCGTCTGAAACACTCTCCATGAGGCCACCCACTGTGTCCAATTTGCGGGCCCTGGGAGCTCTTTCGAAATGTAAGCTCCCGACCCGTCTGGCAACCATGCCCGGAACTTGTTCGCCCGGAGTGCCCGCCGACCATAAGGGAGCCAGACAGCCAGGTCTACATACGGGGCCATCTCCAATGTGACGATCCTCTTGTGCAGGGCAGACAACTGCTCCACGGTGCAATCTTCTTCTTCTTGAGGAGGGGCCCCCATGACCATGACATACCTCTGAAACCATCTATCCGTGGTGGCTAAGGATTCCGAGGTGAACTCCGTATCGTCCGACTGATCGATGATGCTAGACATCTTTATGCCCTTCTCCTTCAGTCCCTGAGGGCCCATCGGACCCGGCGCAACTGGTGCTGGAGCTGGTGCTTTCTGGGCCCAGGGGTCTTCATCTACCCAATCGTTGTACGGCTGCCCGCCTCTTGTCCAAGTGATTCTCCTGCAAAGGCGCCACACTAGCCCAACTTGAACTGCCTGAGCCGGAGTCAACTGCGAGCCGTCCTGCAGCCTTACATGGAGTATGTTCTGGACCAATGTCTCGCCCGGAAAGGCGGCAAGGATCCGCATGTCCGGATAGCCCAGTTGTTCGTGGACAGCGGACCACGCCCTGTCACCCAGGCCATAGTGCCCTCGCACTGCGTCCAGGTCACCTAAGGCGAGCGCATCCATTTCATCGGGGAAGAGGCTCATGGCAACTCGCGCCTCTTTGCTAACAAAAGTTGTAGCCCACCCTTCATCGGGCCTGGTGGGCTACTTCGAGCATTCGGCTGCAGGCACTGTTGCCCTCCCTGCCGCCCGAATGTACTACTCACACGTGTCGCTCATGCAATTCTTGCATTCTACGCCCTACCAAGAACGAGCAAAGTCCGATGTCCAGGAGAAGCACCCGGTGTGCTGCTGGGGGTTGAGGGGTTTAGGGGTTTGGGGTTTAGGGTTTAGGGTTGAGGGTTGAGGGTTTAGGGTTTAGGGATTAGGGTTTAGGGCTTCGGGGTTAGGGTTTAGGGTTTAGGGCTTGGGGTTTAGGGGTTTTGGGCTTTTGGGTCCAAAGACAAGGCTTACTTGCAGCCAGGTCTAGCTTTCTTCCAAGTATCCCCAAAGATGACTCGTAAGGGCCGCGGAGGGGCGGATTTAGGGTTTCGGGTTTAGGGTTGAGGGTTCAGGGTTTAGGGTTTCGGGTTTAGGGTTGGGGTTTAGGGTTTAGGGTTTAGGGTTTAGGGTTTAGAGGGCACACGGTAAAGCCAGTGCAATCCGCGCAGCGCCCAGAGTGCGCCACCCTCGATAATGAGCAGGCACTCCTCAAAGATCGGGCGTTGCGCCGGGGGTTTAGGGTTTACGGTTTAGGGTTTAGGGGTTTATTTAGGGTTTAGGGGTTTAGGGTTTAGGGTTTACGGATGTTCCCCCAGATACAAACAGTCCTATGATGATCCCTATGAAGGACTGTTAGTATAAAGGGGGAACATCCCAAAGTAAGCTCCGAAAAGCTGGAACATCCTTATCTCCGTTCCCCAAAGGGTATACTAAAGGGAATCCCAGCTCTGATCCTCCTTAAGCCATGTTCCAACTTTTTGGAATTCGGGGGCTTGGGTTTAGGTGGATCGGGGCTTAGGAGGGTTTGGAGGTTTCGGGTTTTGGGCGTCGGGGGTGCCCTAAACCCTGACCCCTAAACCTTGAACCATAAACTTCGGGAATTCAGGAAGTTCGGTATCCGGGTTGCATCCCCAACCACCCCGTAGCCTGAAAAACAAGCCCTCCTTGAAACCAAAACACCCTCACGGTCAACGGTTTAGGGTTTAGGGTTAACCCCTCAACCCTAAACCCTAAGCCTCATGGTTAAGCCCAAACTGCTGCCATGCAGGCTTGCAAGCCTTTAGATTTGGGTTTCGGGTTTCGGGCATACCCTCAACCCGAAACCCTAAACCCTAAGGTGCCGAGGGTCATGGTTCGCCATGCCGAAATTGCCTTGGGGGGACTGAGGGTGACGATCTGAATCTTCCACCGCCGGGCATCAACCCCAAACCTCTTAGGCCCTCTTAGGGTAGTTTCATGGCCCCGTACAAACTCAGGGGCCCATACATCAGAACCCTTTAAAGGAGGCAAGGGACCATATTAAGGGCCCGCGGAAACTCAGTACCCTTCCCCAAACCCTAAAGCCTAAACACTAAAACTCGAGGATCTGAGAGGCCTGTTGTACCAGGGATCTTCATTTTTTTGCCTTCGAAGCGGCACCTCCCCTGATGGTTTAAGGTTTAGGGTTTAAGGCTTTGGCAAGTATAGGGTTTAGGGTTTAGGCTTTAAGGTTTGGGGTTTAGGGTTAAGGGTTTAGGGTTCGGGAGCCTCTGAAGCTTCAACCTTACCGGGCTTGGGGCACTCGGGGACTTGGGGTGCGGATAAGGGGACTTCGTGAGGGTTTGAGGGTTTAGGGTTTAGGGTCTAGGGTGTGAGGGTTCAGGGTTTAGGTTCAGGGCTTATGTGCCCTGATTTCTCAAAGTCCCCTGAATCCCGAAGCTCGGGGATGCCGAGGTTTAGGCTTATAGAGGTTCCCACTGCCCTACACCCGTGGAACGCTCAGCAGGCCCCAAACAACCTTGCACGGCCCTATACCCTGAAAACATTCCGCAGACCCCGAAACCTGCGGACAAGGTGCCGAAGATTAGCGACGACACAAATCCAACCTGGGCCAAAATCGCTTCGAGGCTTCGGGACTTTGGTTAAAGTCCTTGGGGTTGTCTTTTTAGATGCATCTAAACCCTAAACCCTAAACCCTAAACCCTAAACCCTAAACCCTAAACCCTAAACCCTAAACCCTAAACCCATTGCAAGGCGCAGACTCGAGGCTGAGCGCATAGATCCGGTTATCACGCTGAAGCTGTACAAAGTGTTTAGGGTTTAGGGTTTAGGGTTTAGGGTATAGGGTTTAGGGTTTAGGGTTTAGGGTATAGGGTTTAGGGTTTAGGGTTTAGGGTTTAGGGTTTAGGGTTTAGGGTTTAGGGTTTAGGGTTTAGGGTTTAGGGTTTAGGGTCTGTTGAGGGAAAACCGGATTCAAACAACCTGGCAACCCTACGGAATGCAGACGTAATTGTTGGGGAAGGAATACAATGCGGTCAAGAGGCCGCCACATCTTTCGTATCTTTCGGTGACGAATCTTTGGTTGATGAAGGTTTTGGTGGCGAAGAGCCAAAATGTTGAGTTGATATGGCATTTACAGACACTAAGTTTATCGTACTGCTTTTTGTTGACGCGACTAAGAGTGATGAGAGCTTTTGACTGAAGATGGTTTCTCTGCTTTGGTGTTATGGGTGTATGTAGTTGAGGCGTTCTCTGTTCTCGGAATCCAAGCTGTTCGCTTCTTCCCAAAGGCCGAACGCTGTTGTGCATGTTTCAAGGAGCCACTTGGCCCCTGGTTCTCCTGACCTTAGGGTTTAGGGTTTCGGGTTTAGGGTTTAGGGTATAGGGTTTAGGGTTTAGGGTTTAGGGTTTCGGGTTTCGGGTTTAGGGTCTCATATGTTCAGTCCTTGGGTAATTTGTGCTTGTCCCAAAGTTTCCCTGCCGTAGTGGGTCTTCTCTGCCGGTTCTGAATATCATGTCACTTCTCCGAAAAAATGGTCCCTTTTGAGTTCTCCCTAAACGCTAAACCCTAAACCCTAAACCCTACACCAGGCGGCCCCTTTTATTTAGCACCTGTGCGGGGTGGAGCTCCAGGCATCTGTACGGGACGGCATATGAGGATTTCGGGTGTGGAGCTTGACGACCCTTATGTCAAACCCTCTTGAAAAACACCAAACTAGAAACCCTCAGTTCTTGAACATCCTAAACATATCCTCAACCCTCAACCCGAATCAGACACCAAACCCCCCCTTAGCCCTGAGCTGTTCCGGACTTCAAAATGAAATCTCCGGGCACTGTCGGGGCTTACAGGGCTAGAGGGACAGACCTCTGCCGCCCAGTCGCCATAAGAATGCCCGCACACATAAACCACTGGAAGGTCACGCCATCAAAGATCTCGTACTTCTTGACAGGCACGTACCTACAGATCCGTGCGACGTCTGTTTGCAACGGAACCCGTCCTTAATAGGTATGATAGTACCCCCGAAAACCCTAAACCCTAACCCTATACCCCCTATTAAACTCCCTATAACGGACTGTTAGTATAAATTCAAGGCCCGGCGCGGGGCTCTAGGGTTTTAGGGTGTCGGGTCTAAGGGCAGGACCTCGGTCTCCCCAAACTCACCCCCCAACACCCACCGACCCTTCAACTAAAACGCTAGACCCCCAAACCCAAGAACCCAAATCCTGTGGGTTAACGGCTTGGGCAAAGCCTACAGACCTGAAACCCTGAAACAGTAGGGCCGAGAAGAACCCTGTGGTTTGGGTTGAGGGTTCAGGATTTAGGATTGAGGGCTTAGGGCTCAGTACCCCTCTGGGACACAAGACGAATGCCCCCGAACCTCCACGCCCCAGACCCTATACCAAACCTAGAAGCTATACCCTAAACCCTGAGCCCTGAGCCCCAAGCCCTGAGCCCCCTGAACCCGAAACCCTAAACCCTAAACCCTAAACCCCAAACCCTAAGCCCCCTGAACCCGAAACCCCAGGGCCCCCGACTGAACTCCAAAGGCGAAGGCTGCACCGAGTGCGCAAAGCAACCCGGTCACGTACCTGAAGCTTCCCTTGGGGGTTCTACTTGGGGGTTTAGGGTTTAGGGTTTAGGGTTTAGGGTTTAGGGTTTAGGGTTTAGGGTTTAGGGTTTAGGGTTTAGGGTTTAGGGTTTAGGGTTTAGGGTTCAGGGCCTCTACCTGTTGCTGGTGTAGGGTTTCGGGTCTGGGGCTTCTGGTTCAGGGCTTGGGGTGCTAAAATGAAAGAAGTTGTACATGAGTATTTATACATACGTTCATACATATATAGATACATATACATATATATATATATATGTACACCATTTGTTCTCTCCGAGTACCACCTTTTCTTTAACATCTGCTCATCGGTAGTACCAACTTGTCAACGTGTCCTTAATAGGCATACATCTGCCTATAAGATGTCTTGGCAAGTTGAAGATTGGATGTCTCCAGACCCGACTCAAATCTCAAAACTTGAGTCAGCTCTGAAATTGAGACTTAAGAGTGAAGATTCCAGACAGGGCAATTGGGGGAGGGGGGAGGGGCATGTGTATTCTTATATATGGACATATGTATATTCACATTCAGACATATACGAACCGTTTTGAACCAGAAGCTCAAAAAAAATACCTAAAACCCCCGAGGGCCTGTGCCTCAAGCCCCGAACCCCAAACCCAAGCCTGGCAGCCGGCAGCTCAAAAACATCAAACGGGAGGATCCTACCTTACGGTCCTTTGTAAGGCATCCTACTAGTAGGGTTTAGGGTTTAGGGTTTAGGGTTTAGGGTTTAGGGTTTAGGGTTTAGGATGGTTTAGGGGCTTCTCATAGGTACCAGAAGGGGACGGGCCAATGCTTCAGGGCACGTCATGGCACCCGGCAAACTGGAGCTTCACGCCAGTTTGGCGCACCGAGGGTCTAAAATCAAAGGCGCCAAGTGATGGAAGCTTATATAGGGTTTACGGTTTAGGGCTTCTACAGGGTTTAGGGTTTAGGGTTTAGGGTTTAGGGTTTCGGGTTTAGGGTTTAGGGTTTAGGGTATGAGTAGCCGCGTGACACAGCGACACTGGTCATTCTTGTCCACCCCGAAACCCTCAACATGGTGTTTCGGCGTTTGGCCTTGCGGGAGGTGTTGTGAGGCGATCGGGCTTTCGAACGCGAGGGGGTCTTAGGTCAGAGACTCCAATATCCCCTAATTGAGGAATATGCCTTAACTTATAAAAGGATGCCTAAACTTATAAAAGGATGCCTAATATGATTTGAGGTATAACCCTTAATTAAGGGACATTGGAGCGTCTGGGAGTCTAGGCGTTCATCCTGTCTCTATGCTCAGAGGCGGCTTCGGAGAGCATCTCTCCAACATGCGGCGTGTGGCCCCCAGGAGAACAGCTGCCCAGAATAGTCAAAACAGGAATGATACTGTTAATCATGACAACGATAATAATAATAATACTAATAATAATAAGAAGAATAAGACTAAGACTAAGACTAAGAATAAGAATAAGAATAAGAATAAGAATAATAGTAAGAATAACAAGAAAAATAGGGATAGTAATCGTGGTTGCGCAAAAACGTGCCTCGCATCGCCTGGCAAAATGGTTTTCTTGAACTGTAGGAATCTGAACAAGGAGGTCGGTGCAATACAAGACCACATGTCAAGCGAAGTCGGGGAGTGCATCAAGAAGGGAATGCTCCATCGAGCTGCTGAAGAATCGGGCGTTTTCCGTGCGCTGGCATGACTAGAGTACCCTTCCAGACAACAAAAATGCTGAAAAAGAGATTTCTGGTCGCAAGCCCAACCTTTGGTGTGAACTTGGGAAACACCTCTTCTCAAACTCGAGTACCAAGCTCGGCTTGGGCTGAAAGGGGGGACAGCAAGCTGATGTTTGGAACGCGGCCTGCATGTCGTTAAAAGTTCTTGCATGTTGAAACATGAATTACCTGAACTGAGCTAACCGGGGCAAAACTACTTCAGCAGGGTCGCAAGCTGACCTTTGGTTCGAAGCTTGCATGCCACCCGACTAGAAAAACTGCTTGAGCAGAAACTTGAAAAAAAAAGCAAGCCGACCTCTTCTGCGAAACCTCCATGTCGTTCAACGTTCACTGAAGCACCATAGAGTTAAAGCTCCCAGCAGGAGTTCCGGAGAGCTGCATACGTGACCCTGCAACAGCCATCTCGACTTCCTTCGAAGGCCTCCTGTAGAAAGTCGGGCACTGGCTGTCCTTCTGCAAAGTCTTTTGCTGTCCAACCTCGCGAGTTGCGCAAGTCCAGACGTGCCCCTGCTGCGATGAGACAAGCAGCAGCTTCGTACTGGGAGGTCAGCACGGCAAGCATGAGAGGCGTTCCACCATGCCCGCCATGATACATGAGCTTGCTGCACAAAGTCTTCTTGCCGAGCTTGTGCTGCAAGATCTTTTGCATGGAGATCAGTCCCAAACCAAAGCCAGGCTTCCACCAAGTAAAGGTTTGGTCATTCATGTCAGCGCGTAAGTCCAGTAATTTCTGAACAAGTTTGGCGGAACCCCCATGGTTAACCATGGTCTCGTGGAGGGCACATGTCACATCTAGGCCATGTCCTCCAGTTTGCCGAAGCAGCTCCGCAACCTGAGAAAATGAGGGGTTATAGGGTCTATGAAGGCAGGGCCATAGAAGTCACAAGGAACAGAAAGCAGCTTCTTGCTGCGTCTCTCGCGAGAGGGTTTTCGCAACACCTCGAAACATATGGCTAGGAAGAATGAACAGCTAAAGGGCGAGCGAATCCGAAATCCGAGCGGCCGCCTGAAGGGTGCCGTGGGTACAAGCTGTGCCGAAGGCCCCCGCACCCACAAGGTTTCGCCGGTGAGGGTCGCACCGAGCTGCACACAGCAGGCGCACACCTGGCTTGGCCCAAAAAAATCTTGGAAAACATTCATATGGAATAAAAATATATATGTATATATATATATATGTATATATATACACATATATATATATATATATACAGGGTCCCTTAGAAGCCCAAGCAAGGAAAATAATAAAAATCTCCCAACAACCAACCTAGACACCCTCGGCACTGTCTGCGACAACGGCAGCGATCATTGGTGTGCAAATGCTCGCGCCACCCGTGAGAGAGGCCCTCGCAGAGATCAAGAACTGCGCCGCACCATCATGCCGAAACATGACACAAATGGCAAGTGCGGAGGTCAAAGGTGGAAGACCTAGCAAAGGTTGGTCTTTGGTAGTTTTGCAGTTGGGATTTGCACCTCGTGCGATCAATCCTTGAATTAATGGCAGATCCCCACTCAAGGCAGCGTAGTGCAAGGGCATCCATCCGCCCGCATCCCTCTCAGCAATCTTCCGGAAACCGTTTTGGTACAAGAACTCTTCCTTGCTTGGTCCCTTCCACCCCTTGCGAAAAAATCCGAGATCAAACCATCTTAAAACCTAACATTGAAGATAATCTTCTGAACTAAGATCATCTTAAAGGCTTAAAATCCGAATATTTTGCGGGAAGTATTCCGTTGCAAGGTCATCTTAGGCCGAATATGTAGGGTTAAAGGGTTTTTTGAGGTCCAGGGCCCGAAACCCAAAACCCTAAACCCTAAACCCTAAACCCTAAACCCTAAACCCTAAACCCTTAGGGCTAAAAAGGTTCCAAAGTCCAACCCAGCTTCCACAAGGATGAGGCTCGGGTCCATCTTCTCCACGCGGTCCGGGAGACTTTCCTCGAAGCCTGGAACAGGGTTTAGGGTGGGTTTAGGGTTTAGGGTTTAGGGTTTAGGGTTTAGGGTTTAGGGTTTAGGGTTTAGGGTTTAGGGTTTAGGGTTTAGGGTTTAGGGTTTAGGGTTTTTCAGGGTTTTTTAGGGTTTAGTAGGGTTTAGTAGGGTTTAGTAGGGTTTAGTAGGGTTTAGTAGGGTTTAGTAGGGTTTAGTAGGGTTTAGTAGGGTTTAGGGTTTAGGGTTTAGGGTTTAGGGTTTAGGGTTTAGGGTTTAGGGTTTAGGGTTTAGGGTTTAGGGTTTAGGGTTTAGGGTTTAGGGTTTAGGGTTTAGGGTTTGCTGTGATAGGGCGTAGGTCTGTGAAGGCTAAGTTTCGGAACAAGCTCGAAAGCTTCGTGAGGTGCGAAGAGCAGCTTTGGCCCGATTGTGGAGGGCCACCCAAACCTATTCCTGTTAGGGTTTAGGCCTAAACTCAAGGCAACAGTCCACTTCTACAAACTTATTCAGCTTCACGACGTTCGGGGGCCAGGGCCACCGGGGGGGTGAGGGGGGCCAGGGGCCAGGGCCAGGGGGGCAGGGGGGAAGGGGGGCCAGAGGAGGGCCAAGGGACCTTCCGAAAATACCCCTCCAACAAGGCCAGCGCCATCCAGGAACACGGGCTGGGGTATTTACTTTAATATAGGGGACCAGTACTGGTCCCAAGCAAAACGGGCTCCGGTACCGGGAGGCGGGCGAGCGGGCTTGCGTCATCGAGGTCGAAGGGCTTCAGCGCCCCCCCCCAACGTACGGGGGCGGCCTAGGCCCTGGGTTTAGGGTTTAGGGTTTAGGGTTTAGGGTTTAGCGTTTAGGGTTTAGGGTCTAGGCTCTAGGGTTTAGGGTTTGGGGTTTCGGGTCTAGGGTTTAGGGTTTAGGGTGGCTTTACCATGGGGTCAGTTTTGAGAATTCTGGCCTTTTTGGGGCTACCAGCATAAAGCGGTGCCTGATAATTAGGGTACCCAAGAAAGGACCCGAATTTTAGAGAAATGACCATGTCAGGCTTCCGAGGTTTTTTTGGGGGCTTTAGAGGACTTGACGGCTTCTGGGATTTGAGGGCTCCCCCGAAGCCTGGTACTGGCTTGTAGTAGTCTTGCATCCCTGGTTCCTGCAGTCCATTGAGGTACACACTCTGCTGGTTCAGCACCACACGGTAGCTCACGAAGTCCTGAGCTTGCAAAAGCTGCAGGAGCTTGCGCTTCATGGTGGCCATCAGCACCGGCGCCATCTTCGCCCGGTCCGCCGCCTGTGAGAAGTCGCCTTGGCCGGGAGGCCCACTGCCCATGGATGCTGAAGGACATGAGATCAGCCTCCGGCGCATGGGCGGCTCAAAGTGGGCGGAGCCGTATCCGAAACCCCTCCAAAAATTCAGGGGGTGCCTCTGTTTTAAGGTCCTTCTAGGAGGTTCGTACTCTGGTCGGATGCCTCACCCATACCTCTCTCCCTCGGAGCTTCTGTGTTCTGTCCCACCCTCGGCGTGCGTGCGCTTGCTAGTCGTGCCCCGGCTCGTGCAACTGCTCTCATGAACCGACAACAGGGGCGTAGTTTCAGGCTGGGGATGCTGGTTTAGGGTTTAGGGTTCTAAGGTTTAGGGTTTAGGGTTTAGGGTTTAGGGTTTAGGGTTTAGGGTTTAGGGTTTAGGGTTTTGGGTTTTGGGTTTAGGGTTTCATTCTTCCCGAGGAGCTCCAAGCTCGTGGGTGCCTTTACCACGATCCAGGATTGATTTTGGCCCAGCTCGCAGCAGGCCCTCTCCAGGCCTGACTTCTCCAATAACCAAGGGGAAAGAGGTTAAACTTTCATATTCCTGCTAAATAAGGAAACCCAAAAAGTTTAAAGTTCAACTAAAGGCGAAGTAAGAGGCGGCACCACCCTCTTCGTGCCCAACTGCTGGGAGAAAAGACCTTCTGCAAGTTGTCACTCGCGATGACTGGGACAAGCACGAAGAAGAAGGAGGATGAAGCCACGTAGGCTGGGATGCTCTCGATGGCCTTGGACAACTCACTTCTGCAGCCTTTGGGGGTCTGGTCCGCACGCTCCATCTGTGGGCACGAGAAGTAGTCATACCAAATGAAAAGCTCCTTCTCCACCAGCTTTGATGTAGGCAGGCCGCTTGATCTTGGTAAGATCATCTCTGTGACAACATCCAAGGGTATGCGCGTCAAGTCGGACATGATATGTCGGAGGGCGGCTTGGAGGACCCGCATCTGTTTGAACTCAGGGTCTGGATGTGCATGACCAACCCACTGATGTGAGACAAACGCCGCGTTCCCCATGCTCTTGTCAAACTCCACAAGGATGCCTCTCGCTTTGAGCTCTTCATGTGGTTCTATCTCTCCCATCAGCAGCAGATCCTTCACTGGCACCGTGTACATGGGCAAGAGCATCGCACTTGCCACGTCATCCTCCCTGTTTTGCAAGGATCGCGCGTACGCGGCCAAGGCAGACTCCTGACGTGTAGATTGGCAGCACAACATGCTTGACGCCGCCTTTGTAAAGACACCGGAGCCCAGACCTACCCAAACAAGACGGCCAGCCAAAACACTCGCGATGAAGATCGGCAGTGTCACTCAGAGCTTGCCAACCCAACTCGGGCTACCCTAAACCCTATACCCAATACCCTATAAACCATCAACCCTATAAAGCAAAGGGGGGGGCCTCCAAACCAATCAAGCTGCAGGTTCTAAACTATCGCCGCGAAAACAGAAAGTGCAACACCCTAACCAACTTCCCAGACGGACCTTTGCCAACCCCAAACCCTAAACCCTAAACCCTGAACCCTGAACCCTGAACCCTGAACTCTAAACCTTCCCTCTCGACCTCGGGGACCAGCTCCAAGATGCCCTAGACTAGGCTGGGCAGCCTAGGGATTAGGGTTTACGGTTTAGGGTTTAGGGTTCAGGGTTTAGGGTTTAGGGTTTCGGGTTTCGGGTTTAGGGTTTAGGGTTCAAAAGCAACGGGCTCAAAAAGGGATGGGCCAAATCATTGAATACCAACGAACCAAGGGGTGATTTTATCATGTCGTAAGATGAAGACCGAAAAAAAAGTTGAGCCACTGAACCTGGCGTGCTTTCAACCCCAAAAACAAGTAGTTCACCTGAGATGATCCTCGCATTGTCAGGTTCACTACTGATTTTCCGGGTTGAGCAACAGGCATCTTGAATGACTTCTTGGGAAACGCTTCTGATGGTGAAACTGTGGGCTCCTAGTCAATCCATCCAAAATCTGAATCCCACGATGTTTGGTTTCCTGATGTTTCCTGGAATCGAAGTCTGAGCTATCACCAGCTTTTGACCACTAAGGCCACGAGTGCTTCACCTCCATTGGCCCCAACTAATGAGGCAGCCCAGGTTCCCAACTGCTCTGCAGCTCTACACTGCTCTTCCGCGCTGTCGCTCTCCAAAGCCCTCCCCAGGGCCTGGAAGTGCTTGCCAAAAACCGCATTCTTGCGATGGTGCCGCGGCCCCGAGGGCGATTTTGGGACCCTCCTTCCGGGCCTGCTCGGGCGTCAAGACACATCATACAAGCACAATGTTATCAACTAGCAGAGAACACAAAAGCAACGAGAGAACGAGAAACGTTCCTGTACACGGCGGCGCCACAGAGCGCAGCGACAGCGAGCGATGGCACCGTGGCCCCGCGCGCGAATTTGGGACCCTCCGTCCTGGCCTGTTCGGGCGTAAAGACCTCTCTTGGCCCTTTTGGGGTAAAATGGAGGGGTACCCAAAACAATCGATTTCTGCACCAAAAACCGCATTCTTGCGATGGCGCCGCGGCCCCGAGGGCGATTTTGGGACCCTCCTTCCGGGCCTGCTCGGGCGTCAAGACACATCATACAAGCACAATGTTATCAACTAGCAGAGAACACAAAAGCAACGAGAGAACGAGAAACGTTCCTGTACACGGCGGCGCCACAGAGCGCAGCGACAGCGAGCGATGGCACCGTGGCCCCGCGCGTTAATTTGGGACCCTCCGTCCTGGCCCGTTCGGGCGTAAAGACCTCTCTTGGCCCTTTTGGGGTAAAATGGGGGGGTGCCCAAAACCATCGATTTCTGCACCAAAAACCGCATTCTTGCGATGGCGCCGCGGCCCCGAGGGCGATTTTGGGACCCTGCTTCCGGGCCTGCTCGGGTGTCAAGATACATCACACAAGCACCATGTTATCAACTAGCAGAGAACACAAAAGCAACGAGAGAACGAGAAACTCTTTTGTACACGGCGGCGCCACAGAGCGCAGCGACAGCGAGCGATGGCGCCGTGGCCCCGAGGGCGATTTTGGGACCCTCCGTCCTGGCCTGCTCGGGCGTAAAGACACAACGCATAAGCATACTGTTGCCCTCTGCTTTGCTTAACTTGTCGTTTTGATTTATACTAAAATATCAACTACAGCAGAGAATACAAAGCAACGAGAGAACTATCCCAAAAAAAACCCTAAACCCTAACAGAGTAAGGTTTAGATGGTCTTGGGGTGGGGTCTTAGCTTTCGCGCGATGCGCCGCCCACGACCCCTTGGGTCGAGGCGCGTCGCTTCAGTGAGCAAACCCTAAACCCTAAACCCTAAACCCTAAACCCTAAACCCTAAACCCTAAACTAAGTGAGGGGTCGCTTGAGTCGAGCGACAGACCCCGAACGCTCGGCCGGGGCCTCACAGCCCGAGTGCCCAAGCGAAAAGAGAAACGGAAAGGTGAGGGTTAAGCCTCACCGTCTGTCCTGGACAGGCCAACGGACATCGGCCTTTTTTACGACAACGTCAGCACTCGGCTAAGGGATGGCCGGCACCCAGACCACCTTTAGCAGAGCCAAAAACCCTTTTTTTTTTCTGGGCGTGGTTGGGTTTTGGGTTCAGGGTTTGCAGGGCCCCTGGCCCCTTGTGGCTGGATTCCTGGACCAGGAGGCTGGCGAGGGCGTCCAGGCAGGCCAGTTGCTCAATTTCGTGATTTTGGTCACACGGATTTTCGCAAGCGGGGCCAAGGACCCCCCGGACCAAGGCCCCCGAAGGGGCAAGGGCCCAGAAAACATCCCGGACCAAGGGCTGCCCTCGCCAAGGCCCGCCGGGCCAAGGGCTGGCCAAGTGCCCACCCAATCCCTGGCCAAGGGCCAAGGGCCCCCCCAAACCAAGAACAACAAAGAGCGAAGAATTTTTTTGGCAAGAGGCGCTGCGGGACCTGGAAGGGCCGGGTTCAGGGCTAGCGGAAGGCCCCCCGCGCCAAAGGGCCCCCGGGCGAAGAGCTCCGTACCATCAATGAAAAATGTTTTTTTTTTATTGGAATCGATTTTGCGCACCCCTCCATTTTACACCAGAAGCGGAAAGCCTCCAGGAACCCCCCAAAAGGCCCCAAGAGCCACCAAAAGCTTAATTGAGGCCCTCAAAGAAGGGGAATCCAGGAGCAGGCACAAAGGTTTCCCTGACCTTCAAATAAATAAGGGACGGGCCCTGACACGCCAACCCCAACTTAAACCCAAAACAGCAAGAGTGCTCGTCAATCACCGCGACGGCAGAGCAGCTGGTTGACTGCGCTGCGGGCATATCACCGTGCTCACTGAAGAACTGCTACGAGTGCCTGGCTTAGGCAAACGGCAGCTCATGTGGTCAGCCAACATCCAGTCTGGGTCTGCCAAGAGAAGCGGTCAGATAATCTGGCCGGGTCACGATTGTAGACGTTCCTACTGACTGTTCGAACGTGCTGAGCTGATAGCCCATGAACGATGCAAAGGCGACTCAGGTTGGAGGGTCTCCGGTGGTTTTCATGCTGTTCGACCCCTGAACAGAGAGAGGCACAAAGTGTCAGAAGGAAAGTATCTAAAAGAGGGTACCTTGCTTGCCAATAAGTGCCTGGGCAGGAGATTCTGCTCAGACCCAGCGGGATCCTAGCTTGCTCGATCCCGCAATCAAAAGCCGAGAAGCCGCAAAGCAAGAAGACCAGGCGAAACACATGCCGCACACATGGTTTCTTTTAGAAAGACCACTTTAGTTGGAAGAATGCAACAGCTCCCGAACAGTGTCACACACCAAGATGACACCGGCTGGATCTGGGCTGATTGATTTGGTGTAAGAAAAGTCAAAGGGCACCAATTAGATTAAGAAGCGGTCACCCTTGGTCCAAATCGCCAATCTCTAGACAAGGTGGGATGCACAGCTTCTCTAGTCAGGGTGCTTGGTGTCACGTGCGGCAGACCTGGAAGGCCTTGAGCCTGTGCCTTTGCCCGGGAAGGCCTGTGCACCTTGAGTCGCGGACTGAGCACGTCTGAGGAAGAGTGTGGATAGTCAGTTTGTACGGCATGGAGCGCAAAGACTCCAGACTTGCTTTGTTCCTCTAGCTCTTCGCCTAGGGTCATTTCTTGCCCAGTGGGAACACTTCTGTTTCCGCAAGGCAGTCCAGCCTCCGACTGACATGTGGGACATGTGATGTCGACCGCCGCCATCGCAACTTTCGCAAGTGGCTTTTACGAAGACCTTCATGGACGTCGAGTTGGATGAGATCAGCTCAAAGCAAGCCCCGGATGAGGTTTCTTGGCCTTTGTATTTCTTTTTTGTTTTTATCCACAAAGTGGTGGCTTGTTGACCTCTCTTTCTTGTTCTCCTAAGACCATGGACAGCTTCATGAGCGACGGAAAGCAGAAGCTGTTCGAAGTGTTTGGTCTGGTGTTACCGTTGGTTTGCGAGGGTGCAGCTCCTTTGAAGATGTGACCGCTAGTTGCTGCGAGGCCCCTCAAAAGAGCGGCGCGGCGTTTTTGAGTGGTTAAAGTTAAGATGCCGCCCGGCGCTCTTTTTCTAAAAACGGAGCTTTCACGCTCCTACCATGCAAAAAACCAAAGTCACGCACACGACGAGCAACTCGTGTCCCAAAGTACCAAGCGCCAGCAACCCCTCACAGGCACTCCAAACACTTCTTTTAGCTTTCTCACGCTCACACCAGTCTTAGCCAAACAACTTGCGTTTGCATGTGGGGCTTTCTAGGTCAAAAGTCTGGGCTTTAAACACTTCCGAAAACGAAGCTACACAGTCCAGACAGCTCGCACAACTCAAATGCCACTCAAGGTTGCACAGCTCCAAACAAATGCAAAAGAATTCTTTTTTCGTTTAATGCGGACGCCCCTAAACCACATCAACAGTGGGCCGGTCGATTGTGACGAGGTGAGACGGCCATGACGAAACCACACCAACAGCGGACCCGTCTATTGCCACGAGACTTCCTCTTTCACCAGAGGACTCGGCCCGATGATTTTCCTGACACCCCCCGATCGAGACGGAGTTGGTGCCTGCTTTCAAATGGCAGCCTGTGCGACAGGAGGGATGACAGTCAAGAATCCTGCGAACTCAAGCAAACGAGTCTTTCAGGACAATGCACAGAAGTTCAAGCACAACGACGCTCTGACTAGGAGCCGG